ATGCATCTATATGTCAGGCAGTTTTGAAATATCATTTAAAATATCAAATTAAATTACATAATATCCCCTGTCTGTTTGATGAACAATGGCCATAGAGGTGTCCATTCTCCATTTTACATGCCAATGGATAGGCAATCATTATTATCGTCATTCATAGAACGTAAAACGATCGCCAGAGTCTGTGTTTCTACGATGTAAACCTGCTTACACATTTTGCATACGACAACATATACCGGTACTATACAAAGAAGAAGATGTGATATTGCCAATGAGACAACTATCCATCATAGACCAAATGACGTAGATGTTACCATCTAGAGGTCACCGTACGGCCTTTAACAATGAGCACACCCATATCGTATAGCAAGCTATAAAAGGCCCTGATATGGCAAAACGAAACAAATTCAACCTAGAAACCCATGTACAAAACAATAACTTAAAATAAATATGATATGCAGTAACAAAGTTAACGACAACCACTAAATTACAAACCCTTGACTTGGGACAGGTAATACAGAATGTGGAAGTTTTAAACATTTTTGCGGGCGTCCAACCCTCTCCGATTAATAGGACAGTGTTGTAACAGCACAGCATAGGAAAAACTGTTAAAGTCAGTTGAATGTGCATGACTCATCAGATCGATACAAAGCATAAAAAAACAAAAAACAACTAACAAAGAGACTAAAGACACAAAGTATACCGATTTGAGAGTACTTGTATCAACTGAAAGCCAGTTCAAAACCAATAACAACAGATAAAAAAATCATGTATCATAGACAAAATATCAATCAGTACACACCCAATGGATTTAGTGTAAAGACGTCATGAATATTATTATCACACCGCAGGTAAATAAGCGACGATGTGATTGGTTTGATTAATTAATGCCTTCACATGGAAACCCCCTATTCGTCCGTAGGGGGTCAGTAAAAATAATATAAAATATTAAAATGGATTTCAAACTGATATATAGTTAGTTCATTAATTTGTTTCAAACAAAACTATATTTAAATATTTCTTTATATTTTCGCCATTGAAATTCTGTAAAAAACTTATTCTGCATTATCATTGTACAATATCGTGACTTCCTGTACTGTTTATGACGTTGTGGTATTTCCATTTAGCAAACTTTATCTTTGTCAGACATTCGTTGAAGCGATTGGTATTTATTGTTTTGCTTGTACTTTCTCTATTTTTGTTTATACTTGTAATTATCTATTTTAGGGTTTTTATAGATTTAAAAAATATATATGGAATACGAAATTTTTTTTAAAAAAACGTGTCAAGAGATATATATTTTGATTTATTGAATGATTGATTTATGTTTGCTTAACGCCAAGTGGTAAATATTTCATGTATATTCAGGACAATTTTGGAAAATTATAATGAAAAGTAGTATGTCACAGTGCTAACAGTGCTTGTTTTCAAACTAGTGTACAGACTGTGCAAAATTACCATAGTGTGTTACTATTATACACAGAAATGCACTTTTGTGTCACCAGATAGAAAACTAAAAGATAGAATTCTGAAATAAAATGTAAGAAGATAGCTCAAGATTTTACAACTATGTTAAATTGATAACCTTTTAATATATAGGTTTATTCAAAGGATCAATAAGTTTACAAGGATCGTAACTAAATTTATGAGCTCTATAAACAACACCACCTTAAAGATTAGGGGGTGATATCTCGTTTGTAATGAGGTTTTCTACAGGTATAGCCAAATGTCCAACCAAATCGTTGAATCTATCAAAAGAAACGACTTTTCGTTCCCTATTGTTAACTTTCCTTTTTTATGCATGGGTATGTTCCTTTGGTCCCTTCTTATGGTGTTTATATATTACAACATGTTCGCTATGCCCGTGTCTGTAGTTACTTTATAGATTTCAATGAACGTAATCTATGTATCAATGCATGGTAAAGTATTAAGTCAGGGATCTTGTTACCACAAATTTCTTAAACCCTTTACCAAATTCTTTCATGGATACAATGGTTTGTAAATTTGGCAGTACTCGTAGAAACTTATTACAAACGGGATATCACATTCTCGTTTTTACGGTGATATTGGGTAAAGAGCCCGTAAATACAAAACGACCCACGTAGACTAATCGATCCTCCGAATAAACTGATTCTAAAAGGTTATCAATTTAACACTGTAATACTATCTTTGAATAGAGATCTTATCGGTAATAACATTGATTTTGTTATGAATAAATTAGAACATAACTACATATGTATTCCTATGCAGTTCTGAAAACGTTCGGTCCTACATCCTGTCTTTACTTATATTTTAGCATTGCACGCAATGTCATGTTTTTCTCGTGCTGTTTATGACGTCTTTACACTTAATCTATTGGATGTGTACTGAATCTACTGATTCATATTTTAGTCTGGCAAACACGATTTATTTAATAGTTGTGACTGGCTTTGAACTAGCTGTCAGTTACTGCTAGTACTCTTAGATCGATATTTTCGTGTCTAAATCTTTTTGTTATTAGTTATTTGTGATATGTGTCTGAGTCGAGCATTTTTCAACTGATTTTTACAGTTTGTTCTTATGTTATGCTGTAACACCACTATCCCAGGTTTGGGAGGGTTGTACAAAACATGTTTAACACCGCCACATTCTGCATGTGCCTGTAATTCGTTGGTTTTTTTTTTATATTTGTTTTGTTTTTGTTTATTGTTTTGTAAATATATAAAGTCGTTGGTTTTCTCGGTTGAATTGTTTAATATTTGGTCATTCGGGGCCCTAAGTAGCTTACTATATGGTATGGGTTTTGCTCATTGTTAAATGTCGTACAGATATATCATATAGTCTCTGGTAGATAGTGTTTCCATTGGCAATCATAACACATCTTTTTGTATAGTTAAACGGGCACAGCATTAGTTGTAGAACACTTCCCATGCAGAAATCGAGGTAAAACAATATTGACGTTTTAATTTGTTTGTGGTTAAGGTAGGCTAGCCAGTACATGGAGGGACCTTCAAATGTTCAGATGAGATGTGGCAACGATATGATTGACTAATATTTCACTTGCAGTGGAGCGTTCAGCCTCCAATGTAGAAAAATGTATACATATAATTTCATGTTTATGAACTGAATGCCATGTAATATTTGCGTCATATCCTTACCTTATTGTTGTCTGATTTGTCGGCTGTTAGGAACAATAACGCTTTTTAAAGAGTATTTATAATCATGAAATTGACTTAATATTAAACCTTTTTATAATTTCTGAATTCTTTTCTAAATGTGATATGCGAATATCCACAACTTATTCATACGTTTATTCAAATAAGAACCAACTGATTTTTATAAGATTTTTTCGATATAATAAAAGAGTCTCTTTGATAAACTGGTGACACTATTTCCAATTTATTTTCGATGGACGATATTCTGTTCCCTCAGTTTCCAGAAGAAGAAAAAAACATACAATAGCGGTATAGTAGTCTCGGCTCACGGATAAAATACCTTTTGAATATTTTTGCTGCAAGAAAAGTGTTGTGTACTTAGAGAGCAAATAACTGAAATTAAAACATATATTAAAACTAGAAATAGGTGATCTAGTGACCACAGATACCCCAGTCGGCAACATATATATACTTGAATAGAAAATGCCCAATCTGTAAAAAATCGAACTTTTATATGATGGCCAATGATATCATTTTTGATTTCAAATGATTTTGCCAAGTGTAACATTTACTATCATCCAAAAACCCCAAAAAAATCGAAATTTGTCAAAACTGTCAAAATCAGTCTTCCCTTGTAGTATTTGATTTATGACATTATGTTAGAATTCAAAAATATTTTGTCATATCAAATACATTAGTTTTCATCCGGAAACAAACAAAAATAACACTATTTATAAATAATTAAGGGGCATATATTTGAATGTTAAATGCTAAAACCGTAAAAATCGGACTTGACCTGTTTTTGTGGTTTATGACATTGTGCTAACATTTTATCAGATTCTACCAAGTGGTTCTTAATTTAGTTATGATAAAGAAACAACAAAAAAATCTCAATTTCTAAGATAATTAAGGGGCATATCTTTTAACCGGTAAAGGCCAAAGACGTAAACATCGAAATTGGGCTGTATTTTATCATTTTTAAATATTCTTAAAATATTTTTTGAAATGGCACTTTACTGCCTCTCGCAAAGCTCAAACATCACAATTTTAAAGATAACTAAAGCAGAGGCGGATTTAGGGGGGCCCAGGGGGCCCAGGGGGCCCAGGGGGCACGGCCCCCCCTTTTGTGGAAAAAATTTGGTTGATTATATAGGGAATCACTGAAGCATGACTAGAGCCCTCTTAGGCAGTCAGTGGGCCCCCTCTTATGAAAATTTCTAGATCCGCCACTGTTAAAAGGACAGTACTGTTGAACGGTATTTGGACAAGCTGTACATGGATATAACAATATTTTACTCCAACTTGCTGCTCTTGGTGCACTGACTAATAATTACACATATCATTGATATTCTTTTCGGTATTGTATGTACAAGGTATTATCAGAGACACATATATACATGTATATATGTCTCTGGTATTATTTAAGTAGCATTTAATTACATTTTGAAGGAATACAATTCTTTATAAAACTTTTCATTTAAATGAATTACACAATGTGATTTTATATTATCGTAACCGGTTTTTATTGATTAAGGTCAGCCTTATAAAGGGGGATAACTCAAATAATGTAATGGTGTAAGGGAATGTAAAGTACATTTTTTTTTCTATTTTGTATTTATATAGCAAGAAAGAAGTACACATTTTTCTTTTTTTCTGTCTATTCTAATCCTTATAAAATGTGTCAATTTTTCACAATGTGAATTTTGATATATTTCTGATAATAGCACGACAGAAAACGGTTGAACATTTTGGCCAGTATGAAAGGTCTGTCATACTACACACATTCCGGAAATATTGTCCGCCTTTGTAATAGTTTATAATCAAAAGTGAAAGTATTAACCAATCAAAAACTTGGTTGCGTTCTTTCAAGACACCATTTCTCATTGGTTTATTTCGAAAGCCCACCATATTCGAATGTTTATTGTTTTCTTTTCCTGTTTAAAAAATGAAGCCTAAAACTGAAAAAGATAAGAACCAACATATACAAGTGGCAGTTCGTTGCAGGCAAGACAATTTATTTCACAAAATAACGAAAATTCCATTCATACTGTCAACAATATCTAGCACCACGTCTTATTTGAGAGGCTTGTGTAGCTTTTATGTGATATTATGACCCTTTACGTTATATTAGGTGTCCTTACTCTAGAGTTAGGGTTCATTTATGGTTGGGTAAGGTGATGTTATAGGTTAGGGTTCGGTTTACGTCTGGGTGAGGCTAGTATAATTTAGGATAGACGCGAAAAAAGGTAGCTCTTGCATGGTCCTTCTTCTAGGTCAGGAACCGGATTCAAAACTCAAATAACGACTTTCGAATTTGTGCACTTTGCCATAATTTCCTATGTCACAATGCTTATGCTATTACGTCACAGTAAAAACTAATTGTTCGTTGATGTTATTTGACTCCAGGAGTCCAGGTCTATATGTGTGATTTGTCATGAAATTTTTTGGGCATAATCATGGTTTTGTCCCATGTGGGACGAAACTTTTTTTAAGATACAACATCTTATGTAAATTTGAGATATTAATTTAATTTTAATTCATTTTAATATTAATGCTCTGTGAGGTATTTCAGATAATGCTAGTAGTATGAAATTGTCCTTTGTGTAAGGGTTCCTTCTCCTTTTGGTCCTGTTTCTTGTGGATTTCTAAAAAAATATTTATAATATACATATTATAAAAAATGGAAATAAAAAAACTGTTGTATAATTTATAAAAGGATGGCTAAACAAAATTTTCAATGATTGTCTTATAATATCAGTCAGGGGTACTACTTAAACAAGTGATTTCAGAATCACTCCCTCGAGTGATTTTGGCTGTGAAATATTAAAAATTTTCACACAGACTTTTTAAAATCACTGAAACAAGTAATTTTAGAAGTTAAAATGTAATCACTTTAATAAGTGTTTATAACATTTTCTTGATATTTTTCCCACAAGCTTGATTTTTTTATTGGTAAAAAGACAACAATTCCATTGAAAAAACAACTATGTATATGCAGAAATTGTCTTTTGCTTGATAAGCCTGACACTTTTACAGTTTTTTTAAAATATGCAAAAACTGGAATAGTTTATAGATCAGGTCATAACCTTGAAGTAGATCATTCTAACTCTAAAGAAAACCAATCAGGTTACCTAATATTGTTGATCTTTGTCTGATAGTAAGAGTAGTTAATGAATTTTTGATTACAGAAAAATTCCCAAGGGTACTTTTAAAAGCTTTAGCGCACTAACTTACTGCCCAAGCGCACTGGTGAAATTAATATACAAAGAAAAAGGGATAATTGATTTATGTAGGAAAATTATAGAAAAGATTGTGAAAATATGGAAAATCAATGAAATTAGCATTTGAAGATCAAAGAAAACACTAAAATCACTTAAATAGGTGATAACTGAATTTATAAAATCACTGAAATAAGTGATGATGAAATCACTTGTTTAAGTAGCACCCCTGACTGAATATAATCCCGGTTTCGTCCCACCCCTATGGAAAACCATAATGATTCAACATTCAGGTGGGACGAAACCGGGATTATATATAGATAAGTATCTAATCCAAGGTTTCCAAAACGGTCATATATTCTGGACATTTGTATAATGTCCGGTAAAAGTCCGGCTGGGCAAAGCATGAAATGGTCATCTACTTTTTAGTTTTCATGGCTTTCTTAAGAGACGGTCATTTTAACATAATTCGCGATCTTTTTGACCCAACCTTTAACAGCCACACATTTCCGGTCATAAAAGTGACATAATCATTAAGTACTATCAAAACAGCCCCTACTTTAATACCTTCTCATTTTAATCAAGGCTAATTGGTTGTCGAACAGCTGAAATTTACCTGTTCAGGTGACAGGTAAACTATTTTGAACCGGACATTGATAGGTCTATTCAAAGTTATTTTCTTACATTTCAGCGGTTTGCATCTAATTAATTTAGTCAAAAAGATTAAAATTATCAGAAATAAGTTTACAAATATGATTTGATGAAAAAATTAAAAAGGTGAAAATGAAAAATCGTCATAACGACGTTGTTTGACCAGAGACATGTCTCTGTTTGAACTAGTACAAGTGTGCGCAGGTGTGAAATTTAATTATGCATCCTAATTTCTTTAAAAAATGCTTAAATTGTCATTGATACATGTACCTTTATCTCGCGTTTATTTCGAATATTTTTTTGAAGAAATAATGTAGAAAGAGCTACTTACACTCATTCATGCTTTGCAAATGTACACGGTATTTACGTATCCGTCTCTGGTCCATGTTTTTACCATTGTCAAGATAACATCCGGTATTAGATTTAAAAACAAAAGTTAAGTTTTTGACGTTATTTTGCACAAATAAAGAGTCTAAGGCAGATATAAGTACGCTGATGTTGCACACTTCGAATGATGCACTGCCAATTTAACAGTTTACGTCAGAACTTTGAATTTGAATCAAAGAAAGTTTAATATTTTTTTTTTTTAATGTCAATCATTGGGATGGCCAACTAGGCAACTGATTACCATAATTGCCTTTTGTTTATTTAGTCAAGGGATTAAAATCAGGATAATATATAAAATGTCCGGCTGGCTAAGAATAATTTTGGAAGCCCTGATCTAATCCTGGTTTCCTCCCACTGCTGTGGAAATTCATTACATTTAACATAGAGGGTGGGACGAAACTGGGATTATATATAGATAAGTCTCTCATATATAATCACGGTTTTCATTCCACAGCTATAGAAATTTATTACATTTAACATAGAGGGTGGGATGAAACCAGCATTATATGTATATAAGTGTCTTATATATTATCCGGGTTTCGTCCCACTGCTATGAAAATTTATTACATTTAACATACAATGTATAATCCCGGTTTTGTACCACCCTCTGTCGTGTTTGTTTATGTTAAATGTAACAAATTTCCCATTCCCAGACACAATAATACATTGTGTATCTCAAAGAAAGTCCTACATTGACTGTTGTAATACAGTTACTTCAGAGTGCAGTGCGGGGACATCACTTTGTCTAGAGTCAATGTGATTTTTGTCGAGCCTGCGACTTTTGTCGCAAAAGCAAGACATAGCGATCCTACACTCCCTTTGGCGGCGGCATCCACAAATATTCACTCTGTGGTTAAAGTTTATGAAATTTTAATAACTTTCTTAAACTATCCTGGATTTCTACCAAACTTGGACAGAAGCTTGTTTATGATCAAAAGCTAGTATTTACATGTAGAAGGAAATTTTGTAAAAATATATTTCCTGTTTTTCCTTATATTACTTATAAATGGACTTAGTTTTTCTGCCAGTTAACATTACAAACAGTCTGTAGTTAAAGTTTTGAAAACATTTATTAGATTCATAAACCATTCTGGATTTTTACCAAACTTGGACAGAAGCATCTTACAATCAAAAGATAGTATCTATAAGAAAATTTTTAATAATTTTTTCACCATTTTTGTTGAGCCTGTGACAAGCAGCAACCACGGAACCCTTACAAATTTTTTCATCACACTAGTTGCCAGTTTCATTAAAACAGCTGTCATAAGCACAGATTGTGAACATTGAGATGTCTAACTACGCTTTTGAGACGAGTTCAGTTAATTTTTCCCTCTACACCTAATTAAAATGGCTTAGGGTCAGTGATTTATGAATTTCAAATTAGGGACGGTCTGGTAACCCTAAACAGTCATATATTTCTTTTGGCCTCAGCAATAGGTAAGCTATATTTGGTGTATAAAAAAATTGTAAGGCGTATATGTCTGTAGGACAGGATTTATCTGACCCCTGACCTCATTGTCATAGATTTTTTTTAAATGTTAAGTTTATGTAATACTTTAAGTAAAACCTTTATCTTTAAGACTTTCAGCATAAAATCAATGGTCTGTAAAGCAGGTGAGACATTTCAGCGTGTGCACTCTTGTTAAAAGAAAGCCTCATCTCATTTACATACATGGAAGAATGAAGGCATAACTTGGGTGATGTTAAGTCATTAAGTAAAAAAGTCCATTCAATTATTTTTGCAGTTAAATTTATTTTGAATTTACTTTCCCAATGTGGGTAATATTATATAATTCGTATGGAAGAGTTGTTTTCCTTTATCTAGCTCAAGTGATCTCTCTTCCTTCCAAAAAGTAGACAAATGTCAGCCAAAAATCTTTACAAACAGCAAAACGAAAATGGGTTATGAAGCTAAATGATTCAGTGGCACATCTAATTTTGGAAAGCTCGTTTGCTTAAAAAATATTGCTAAATGGAAGTCAATTCAGTATACGGTGATGCAAAGTAAAAGATTATCTTCTGACTTAATCAACCTATGTTATTGACACATGTTTTAAAGGTAAACTGTTTATCACTCTAGGAAAAGTTAATGGAGGCTTAACCTGTGTTGTTTTTTACAGTTTATCAAAACTTGACCACATAATTCGCTAGATTACTGACATTTTAATGATCTAAACTATGAAGTTATTTTTGCTGTAGCACATGTTAAATTAATTCTAGTTAGGGAAACAGATCATGCAAAAAAAAGATTTGGTCAGGAAATCTCATGAAAAAATTCAAATTCTGTAGTGAAAGTGTTAAGATCTATTTTAATTGTAAGATTTTTTGTGAAAAGACCCACAGGTTCTAAAAAGCCGCTAGTTTTGTATTCATTCAAATTATTTTATTTATTTTCAGGGGTATAAACTCTACAGAGAAAAGGCAAGGCTCCTATTCAGTAGTTGATTCAAATGGAGACAAGAAGGAGATTACAGTGAAAGAGCGCTTAGGAATCAATCCAACTACAAAGACCTACAATTTTGACCATGTCTTCCCACCAGCAGCCACTCAGCTTCATGTTTATACCAGTATTGTCATACCTATTATTGAAGAGGTGTTACTGGGATATAACTGTACTATATTTGCGTATGTTATAACAATAATCCAGCTGTTAATGACAATAATGAATACTTATGCATAAAAATTGAAGTTTTTGTTTTTCCGAAAGCATCAGGGCTGATAAATCCTTATTAATCTCATTTTACCAACCCTTTTTGCTTAATTTTTCATTAATATAAAATTTAGCTGAAGAGGTCAATATGTAAGAAAAAGGGAACCATTTATGATAAGTCAATGCTATTTGGAATGCTATTGTATAAGCATTGGCACGTCTCATTTCCACGGAGGTTATTTGGCCTATCACCTTCTTTGACCTTAGAATGTCTTGCATAGTTTAAATATTTTAATATTGCCATTAAAACCATTTTGATTTAAACCTTTGCATGATACTATCAAAATTACAAAAATGCAATATATCTGTGTCACTGTCAACAGTTTATTTGATTAAAATTGCATATTGATATGAATTAGATAAATTATTTGAGAAGAAATAAGACGCCCTTTACAATTTCCAGAACAAACATGGCGAATGTAAGCATTGTGAAATCAATTTTTTGTCATTTCTTGCTTATAGTACCTTATAATCAGTCATTAGTCTCCACTTAAATCATCTTTCACTATAAAAATCTTTTGCTTCTCACCTACAGATATGGACAAACAGGTACAGGAAAGACATATACCATGGAAGGGGAGAGAAGTGATGACCCCAGTGTATCCTGGCAAGAAGATCCATTGGCTGGTATTATACCTAGAGCGATGTTTCATATTTTTGAGAGACTTCAGAGACAGGTAAAAGTAAATCGCAAGAACTAAGTGTAAAAAATTATTAACTATTGCCAAAACATTTTAAATGTCATGGTTGAATCAAGTGTAAAAATATTTACAATTAAGAATTTTTAAAAGTAGTCTTTGTTGAAACTAGATATTGGCAATCACTTTTTGTAGCATAGTGTGTTGAGAGGTAAAAAGAAAAAGGTATTTGTATTTTTAGCTATCATTTGTCAATTTTTAGAAAGTGATATTCCCTGTTTATTACCTAAAATGCAAAAAAATGTCATTTAGCAAAAAGCATTTTTGTCATTTCCTGTGACAAAAGTTGCAGTATTTGAGACATTAGTATTACTATCTGGCAGCAGCGATGTAAATTATTTGTATAAAGCTTCATATTTCAGAAGGTAGAAGACCTGGATGCTTCATAAATTGTATGCAGATACCTAATTGTAGATACCTAATGTTACGAAGTTTCTGTCATATGCCCATGGTCCATGACCTCCTTTTCATTGTTCAGTGACTGCTTGAAAAATAATACATTTTTTTGTCCTGTGAATTTCTCACTTATTATGAGTAAAAGGATAACTATATTTGGTATATGGGTTCCTTGCAACATCTAGATGTCCGTCAGACAGAGTTTACCTGACCTTGATCTCATTTCATTGATCAGTGATCAAGGTTAAAGTTACATGATTATGTCCCTTTCTCAGATACTATAAGCAGTGGTTCAGTATGGAAGGATTGTAAGGGGTACATGTCAGTCTGGTAGGTTTCATCTAACCGTGACCTCATTTTCATGGTTCATTGGTCAAAAGTTTTAAGTGTTTTGATCTGTTTTTAAAGTATTATCAAGTAGGTCAGCTTTATTTGGTGTATGGAATAATTGTAAGGTGTACATGTCTGTCTGGTAGGTATCTTCTGACCTTGACCTCATTGTCATGGATCTTTAAAAATGTTAAGTTTATGGGATTCTTGTAGTAAAACCTTTATCTTTTTAGACTTTCAACATAAAATCAATGGTCGGTAAAGAAGGCGAGACATTTAGCATGTGCTATCTTGGTACATAAGATCTAGAGTAAGAGTGTGGTTGAAAATGAAGCAAAATAATCTATTGCAAAAACTTGACATATCAGTCTTGATTTACATATAAAATTTGCCTTTTATTTCACATTTGCATGGTTTTTTTTGGCAGGAATAGAATAAACCCTTTTTAAAGAGTCCGCAGAACATATGCTTTAGTGTCTTTAATTGATAAATCTTCTGTTTAAGGTGAAATAAGCATTATGGTTCTTGGTTCATTATATATGGAATATTTGAAATTTAGAATAGTGTTAACCAAATAATTTTCATTTTGAAGAAAAGCAAGAAACTGAGGTTGCTATAGTGACATAATGAAATTGTTTGGCTTCAATGTTTTCATCATATTTTGTTCCCAAGTTATTAAATACCTTGCCACAAAATTTTAAGAAAAAAACATCACCAGTAGATGTTAAACTGAATACTATGTTCTCAGTGTCTTAAAATCTACTTTGCTATACATTTGTGCTAGTTGTTAAGTTGACAACACATTTTCCAATTTTAGTTCTCTATCTTAGCTATAATTATATCCTAACTTAATGTTTGTTGTTTTTTTTTAAAGGATGTAGAGTTTTCCATCCGTGTCTCATTTCTGGAATTGTACAATGAAGAATTGTTTGATCTGTTAGGATCTACTGACGACCCACTTCGACTCAAAATTTATGAAGACAGTTCTAGAAAGGTATGTTGTTTAAAGAAATGATGTTTCTGAATTTTTGTTTGTTTTATTTTGTGCTAACAACTGACACAAGACAACATAATTAATAGTAAATTTCTATGCCAGTTACTATATTTTACTGACTTATTTTAGGGATCAGTTATCATTAATGGACTAGAAGAAGTGGTTGTAAGATCTAAAGATGAAGTATTTCAAATAATAGAACGAGGATCTGCCAAAAGACAGACAGCTGCTACACTGATGAATGCTCATTCAAGGTGAGATCACAGAAGGTTCCAAAATATACAAAAAGGGGTGAATATTTTATCCCACCTTTTATAAATAGAATTTCATTTTAATAGTGATCTCTTTAACTTCACAAGGCAAGAAACAATAGCCACTAATATTTGAACTGTCCCCTCCCCCACCCACATCCCCCTTCTGCTCATAATATTTAAAAAAACATTTGTATGCATATACCGAAATTGGTAAACATTTGATCCCCTTCCATAATCAGAATTTCATAAGAATGTCCAAAGAACATTATCGAACAAATGTAGAACACAGAAAAAACATATCTTACCCTCTTTCTTTACTCCTAAAAATGCTACATGGTGCATGCCTGGAGGATAGGAAGCAAGAAAAGTTTTTGTTTGACTTATAAATGTCAAACAAATGACCACCTAATCCTTGGGTGAGCATACTACCACAAGACCACAGAACTGTCAGTAATGAGAAATGTTTAACTTGTTTAATAAAATTGTGCCAGATTGAAGAAGGAATAAATTAAAAACATGAAAATGAAAGTGGCTTTAAATCTCAGAACATATTAAGGAAACTACAATCATTTTATCAAATTATATTTCTATTTACAGTCGTTCACACACAGTCTTCTCAGTAACTATACACATTAAAGAAAACACTGTTGAAGGAGAAGAATTATTAAAAATAGGAAAACTGAATTTAGTAAGTACTGTTCAGTGTTCTTGTCTGGTTTTCATGGTTCATTGATTAGGAATACATTTTTGTTCAATCAGACTCTCAGATACTAATATGAGGCAAGTGTAACATGTGAATGAGGACAATGTCTTTATTGGCAGCTGTAGTTTAGTTCATTATAGGCATTTGTTATATTTTTTGTTGGCACCAGTTGGTAGATGTATATTTTATGATTATTGCACATACCTGCCAGCCTCTTGACATTTTCAATGAGGGAGATCTCCCCCTCAGCTATGACAGCTGAGGGGGAGATTTTGCATGTACAACATTTTCAAGCTAAATATATGACTTGTACACTATATAAATCAACAAAACACCAAAATGGATTAATAAATATACTTTATTTCTTTAATTCATTGTTTTAATCTATATAACCAATGTCAAATTTATCGTTTGGTTTCTGGAAGAGAAAAAACCCAATTGTTTTTGTATATTTTTAGCCTCCACTACTTTATTGTGAGTCACATACATAGCATGCCTTTTAACATCAAACAAACCACCAGAAGCAACCTAAAAGTTGACTCAAAATAATGTGCTAAATGAAGATTCATTGCCGAGTGATCATAAAAATTGAAAATCTTTCATCTAATCTGCATGAAATTTGCAGTTATATTTCTCCTTTTTTCACACTGCCGCTTGATCCAGACAAAGACCTCTATCTTGTTGGAGTTGACACGGCAGAAATGATTTTCGATTACTTTTATAGCGAACAAAACTAATTAATGACAAAAGTTTTCAAAGGATCGCCCATTGTTTGTTTATTTCTATTGACAGAAATGTAAACTCTTGAAAATTATCAACGGGGGTTATTCTGGGTTAAAATATCCGAATGCGAGATTCTATTCTCTCGCGCGGGAGATATCTGGATTTCAGACTCCTGTTCAAAATGGAAGGTTTGGCAGGTATGTTATTGCAAAGAAAAATATATGTTGCAATACCTTTATTATATCTACTCAGGGGATGTAATAAAAAGTGTGATAAATGAAGTTGTGGTATTTCTAAGAAATTTGTGTTTACTCCAGCAGTCTGCGCCAACAACTTTCATCTACTAGTCTAAACTAAATATCAAAACTTGTCCCTATGTGACTATATAAAATTTTGAAAATTTTCACAAGTCGGAATAAATATTTACTAGTCTGGTGCATCGGACTGGTGGCTAACGGTGCAGACTGCTCCAGATGTATGAATTGTGCATATCACAACTGAATTTTTAAAAGACAGAAAGATTTTTTTCTTTATGTCAGTTTTTTATAAACCACTATTAAATGAGGACTTCATTCTCTACAACATGTACAAGGAATAGTTTGGTCAGACATGGTACACTTGACCTTATTAACATGATTCATTGATTTAAGTTTACAATCAGTTCTTAAATGATATTCACAGTGACTATTTTATCTACAGAGTAATTGTAAGATGTACATTTCTGTCTTCCATTGTCATTGTTTACCTGGCTTTGACAACAATTTTATATGTCAACGATTAACCTTAAGTTTGATGATTAGTTCAGTTTCTTAGTTACTTTAAGTTATATGTAAATTATATTTGGTTCATTGATCAAGGTTAAGATTTCTTAATGCATGTGGTTAAACCAGGTCAATCATAATTGAGACCTGAAATTTCCAATATTTTTTTATCTTTAGCCTGGTGTGATAACATGAGAACATTATCACAGCATATATATTTAGTTGAATATGATCTATCTTTATAAGTAGATTTGTTTTTTGAAACTTAATAGATAAATGATTTTTAAGGTGGATTTGGCTGGTAGTGAGAACATTGGTAGGTCAGGAGCTGTAGACAAGCGGGCTAGGGAAGCAGGCAGTATAAACCAAAGTTTGTTAACATTAGGGCGTGTTATTACGTCACTTGTAGAACATGCTCCTCATATACCCTACAGGTAAGTTGTAGATGTTCTTTTATTTTTGAAAAAAAAGGAAAATTGCTAAACTTTCTATCTTTATAAAACAAAGTACCAAATTGGATGGAAAGTACCAACTTTTATGAAATTTTTGCTGTTAGAATCAAACCAACAATAAACCTTTAAATTCCTGTGGTTTTCAATTTTTTTAGTTGAATGAAAATTGAAATGGAAGACTTAAGCTGCAAACATGTGCATATTGAACCAACTGAGATCTGTACACTCCATAGGATAGAGCCAACCAAATATTGTACTGTGAATATACATGACTGATATATCCAGTGAAATTCAACCTTAAAAAAAAGATCAGAGATGCAAAAAATTAAATTATTTTTGATTATTGCCCCAAAACTGATAACTAAAGTAGTAGAGGTACTAATTTTCTGAGCAGCATATATTTTTGTTCTAATGATGTGTTTGTGGTGACTATTTTTGCCATTTTATGTACATTATTATATGAATCTTTTATCAGTGCAGTTTTTTAAGGTTAATATTCCATTCATTTGGTATTGGGGAGCTAGCAAGAATGACTAATTTTATAGTATGTTACTAAAATTATAGAAATATTACTATAGTAGAACATGTATAAATGGTATTTAAAATCAAGATTAAATCTGGAACAAATATATTTTATTATAGTTCTTATACACTATATTGACTTTTTATTCCAGAGAAAGTAAGCTGACAAGATTGCTGCAGGATTCACTTGGAGGGAAAACAAAGACATCAATCATAGCTACAATATCCCCTGCATCTTGTAACTTAGATGTAAGTTTTAACATCAGGGCAGGAAGTTAGGCTTTATTTGAATTCTTGGATTAATTATTTTATTACATTGACCATGAACTTTTTAAAGGAAATAAAGTTGAAATTGCAAGGAACTATATTTTTTTCTATGCATCCTCATTTCCTTATGATGCAACATTATCAGCAATGTCGTGACAACACCCATTGTTGAATGACGTCAGTGGAGGGAACTTTTCAGATTTTAATTTTACTTGGAATCACAGTATTTTATTGCCACCAATGTTATAAAAAAGAATCTTTAAAATCTATCTTATACCTTGTAATAGATTTAAACAAATAAAAACTGATATTTCAGGAAACTTTGAGTACACTAGACTATGCACACAGAGCTAAAAACATAACAAATAGGCCAGAGGTTAACCAGAAATTGACAAAGAAGGCCCTTCTTAAGGTAGGTCTACATGAAAAATAAGACATGTATCTAACTTCAGGTTAACAGAAATTGACAAAGAAGGCCCTTCTTATAAAGGTAGGTCTACATGAAAAATTAGACATGTAACTAACTTCAGGTTAACCAGAAACTGACAAATAGCATTTTTTAAGTTTATGAAATCACAGAGTTCAAGTCAGCAACAGAACTAAACTTGACCAGAAACTGAAAAAGAAACCCCAACCTAAAGTTGGTCTCCACACAAAATAATTAAAGGGAAACTTCGCAAAAAAATGAAAAATTGATATTATATTGATTATGTATAAAAAACCACAAATTCATAAATATTAAAGTTTAATTCTGCTAGATAAGAGATCACCATCGATTTTAAATTTAGAGTATCACTTCTCCGCGTGCGGCCATTTTGACATCATCCCTGAATAGAAACCACGATATATCTATAAACCACAAAGGACCAAAACAAGCAGTAACCTAACTTAGCCGTAACTGAGTGTCGATATCTTGTCAAGCGTACGGTTGTTTTACCCAACAAGGAAAGCCTTAACAGTTTCCCGGGTCACAAAAAAAGATTATAATGGACATGGTTGTGCATGCAACCTTTCCTAACTAACTTGATACGAAAAATGTAATTATATATAATTTTTTTGAATAACTAGTACTATGGTCTGTCGTTTTGAAACTGTTTTTTTTTACTAAGTTTTTGAAACAAGAAATGTTAATGGAAATTAGTTAAAAAGTTCAAAGTGATAAATTAAGTGTTACGTGTAAAAATGTTTTCGAAAATCTAGTGTATTCATAATTAATTTATGTAATAATCTTATTTAAATAAATTCGGACCTTCCCTTATCTGATCACCAGCATTGCTAAAGGAATTGTTCCCAGAAGTATTGTGAGTTGACACGTCCAGGTATTCAAGCGATTTCTTGTCGGGCTTTAAAACTCTTATTACACAATTACATAAAGCAAGTTCGTGCATCACTTCACCTCTGAGGGTATTGAGAAGTGTACACGGCCGATAACTTGTAACTTTCCATTTTGAAACTATCAGGTGAATATATACATCTTTGTCTTGCTTGTCCGATAGTGATATGCTAGTCTTTACTAAACCATAGATATAATAGCCATTATATATATGACTAAACTCATACGCTTGTTTATAAATAATATTTATGGTGTAAAGAACATTTATGAAAATCTAAATAATTCCAAAAAAAGATTTGATAAAATAAAAATATATTTACATATTTTCCAAACGTAAATTGGGGAAAATGTAAGTAATTACTCGTTGTCAATAATTATGGACATTTTGAAACGTACAAATATTGATTTAACAAAATGTACGCACTTGTCGATCATTGGATTATACGCCTAGATAGAAGGTTACGGAACTATAGATAGTCGCAATTTAGAATATATACATGTATATTGAATATACGAGAGAAACATCCAAAACCAATCTGATTTAAATACAGGTCGATATCTAAGTGTCTCATAAGTCTATTCTAAGGCTGGATATTTGATCTCTGTTTTTATTATGAATTGTTGTATATATATATTGTTTGGTCAAATATGTGACCCTATAATAAAATAATTATTTATTTATTTTATTTATTTTATTTATTTTATTTATTTTATTTATTTTATTTATTTTATTTATTTTATTTATTTATATCTAACTTGCTTTGGTTCATCAAAGTTATGCACATAGTAAAATCACCGATTTTTATTTCCATAAGATTATTTTGAACAGTTTAAGAAAGTCGTCATCATCTCAATGGTTGTGTATTATATATAATAATGTAATAATGTGAACATGGTTCTATTATACCTCATGTCAATTTTCCTGTTCCGACATGCATGTAATGTATATGCCACTGGACGTACACTAATGATCCCCAAAAAGCTTATTTGAAGAAATAAAGAAACTTCACTCCGAATTGACTGATAGTAGATGTGTTAACGTCTGGTCAGCTAGAAGGTTGATTAATTTATTTAGTTAGCTTAAAAGGGAGAGGAATAAACCATTCCTAATATTGCACTTATGCATAAAATATTAAATGAGAGTAATATAAGAGAAAATATAAATACGAAAAGTCGCATATCTGGTAAAAAAAAGTCTCACAGGCAACTATAGAATTTCACGTACACTTGTCATTCTTAATCGAAATAACGGACAGTCATTAAAATACATGCATGTACACTTTGATAAAAAGGGGTGCTGCAGTTGCATATTATTCATCATAAATCTATTTCAAGTATATACTTTCCTGTCATTCTTATAAGTTAACGCAGAGACATGTAACTTTACATCTCTAGTTAACGACAATCAACCATATAAATATTTGAATCTGATGTGACTTACCGTTCATCTCTTTCTCTTTTCATCTTTTTTTTTTTTATTTGGGCAGGTACACAAACATTGTTATGTTAGATATACTGTTCCCAGGTTGGGGTTGGGGGGGGTGAAGTATATCGAAAGTTACAAAATAAGAACGTTGTATTTATGAATTTACATGAAGAATTCTGATCTTGGGCATATGTTTCTTTTTTTTTTAAGTTCAGTGATTTAAATTGAGAGAAAAAAATATAGTCAGAATTTAAATCGTACCGGCAATTTCCACCTAAGACTCCTCTAAAATCATGAATGGTCATGCTTCACAATCATCAGAATTTTCTTTGCATTGGTACATTCGGTAGTGATTTACCTTGACATTTCCGGGTATAACAGAGCTACTTGTATATTACCTGTATGTGGTTAAGTGACGTCCCATGAGGTCTTACGTATACAGGTTCACATTTATAATGGTTTCTGATATAACAAGGTTTTATGACATTCACACTTCTGCATGTTCTGTATACCAAATTCTTATCTTATTTTCAGACCAAACGAGGATATGAATATTTTCCAGGAAAAATATTTAGTATCAAAGTATCAAATTAATTTCGGATTTTTTTCTTTCTTGGTATTAAATCACAGAAACTTAAAGAAAATACTGCTTGTCCGCTTTAGGTGTATTCTTGTCAGTTAAGACTGACATATATGTCTCTGGTATAAAGTGGGTTTATGAATGAATGATAAGTCTTGCAAAGGTACAAGATATAAAGCACATTGAAAATTGATTCCTCCGGTCTGTCTCCATTCAAAAAAGGAAAGTTGACGTTAGATTGATTCTGTTATTTTTTTTAAACACCGTTGGTCAAATAGCTAAAGTATGTATACGTTGTGAGATTTTAAATATTTTAATAAGGGCATTACCGATTAGGTAAATGTAGATCGCTGTGGACGGACCAACCTATATTAATCATGTAACCGCGATAATTTTCTCTAAACATTGAAATATTCACGGTTAATACCCATGATAATTTGAAAAAGTAAGTACAGTGTATGGTTTATACGCTCGTTTTCGTGGGCCATTTTTATTTGTAAAATTATTTAATTGAAAGTAATTCAGAATTTCGATGTTACAACAAAATACTCACCTATCTATTTTAAAATTAAGCTTACGCAAAATATAAAAGATATACATGTATATAACGGCGGTTCAGGTATTTTGCCACCATATTCCTCCCCAAATAATTAATGTTTTTATCATTCATACGAAATGTTGTTCACACCTGTAACGGTGAACCGTGTAGGCTAAAATTCACCGAGTGAAGATCAAAAGAATAGAATTACAGAATGCTAATCTTTTAATTACCTTGAATTTAACCACGCATTCAACAGGTGGTCACTTAGTGTCACAGTACAATACACATTATATTTACACAGTACTAGACTGAAGTAAAAGCCTTCAGGTGAGAATACAAACATGCATTTGTAAAACAATATCAGTTATATATGTTTGTTCAAAATATCCGTCGGAAAAAAATTCATGAAAAAATATTCTATTGTATCATTTACTTTTATTACTATAATCATATCAGAAATCCTTTAAATATAAATTGTATATTTTAATTTTGAAAGTTGCACGGCGGATCACTTTTCTTTCTTAATTATTAGTTGGTTAATAGCTACGCCAAAAGTCGTCGATGCGCTTTAAATTGCGTTATTAGATGATTAACGAACAAGACTTACAACGAGATTTATTCACTCCCGGCATGCAAAAAGACAAACTACGTCACATAAGTCAGGAAGTTGGAATAAATTAAATTATTAATTCCCAATTTTCTTCTTTATTAGTGTTCATATCCAGATAGAACTTGGTAAATATGTTTTTTATGGTATTATGAACATAATAAGATGAAAAGTAAAAAATCGCGAATTTTCCCTTTAATAATGTATGATAAAACAGAAACTGAAGAACAGTATGTTAAAAAATAAAAATTAGATGTGGTAATGATTGCCAATGAGACAACTATAAACCAAAAGACAAAAGCACATGAATGTAAACACCTACAGGTCACTATACAGTCTTCAACAATGAGCAAAACCCATACCCTATAGGTAGCTACTTAAGGCATCAGATAATGAAATGTTAAATAATACAACTAGGAAACTAACCTAGACTTTAAGCTGATAACATTAAACAAAAATAATTATTATAGACGGCAACCAACAACAACCACAGGAATAAAGGCACATAAAGAATGTGGCTAGGTTTAACATGTTTGTGAGTACACAATCCTCTCACTACAAAGCTTATAAAATACATAATCCACTGATGAAGAATTACTTTTTGATGTAGATATGCACAATATAACTTATATGAAATTATATACTGTAAATTTAGAAATTAATGTTTGCATTTATTATTGCAAATCCTTGACAACTGGGAAAAATCCTAAATCTAATTAATTGGATTACAAGAATTTTATGAGGGAATCACTACTGAAATTATGAATACAAGTTTTTATTATTGCCAGCTTGATACTGTTGCATTTTTTGCATTAATAAAAACATTGCAATCATTTCTGAATTTTACAGTAATGTAAACTGACAAGAAGACTATCTAAAAAATTACTTTAGATTTCAAGATTATGTCCCAGATTTAAATGAATAATTACTACTTTTACAAAAATTAAAGTGCAGTAATTTTTTGGGGCTGTCATAAAAAACAACTTCACAGAGGTAATGAGACATGCAGTTCATGTGTAATATTTTTATGCCTGTTTTTAAACAAGTATGATATTGCCTTTGTTACGTAAACAAATGTGAGTGTATTTGTTAGGAATACAATGAAGAAATTGAAAGACTAAGAAGAGATCTTCAAGCTGCTCGTGAGAAGAATGGTATATACATAGCAGAAGATAATTACATGTAAGTAAGAATGCAAATCATTGTTGAGGGAATTCAATAGTTTCAGGGGAGACAAGTTATGGGGCTTTTGAGAAGAACAGTAAAAACACAGCAGAAGATAATTACATGTAAGGAAGAATGGAGATCATTGTTGAGGGGAGATAAGTTCAAGCCGCTCAAAAGAAGACCAATATATATATACATGTAAAAAAGAATGTCATTATAAGGGAAGTCAATAGTTTCAGGGGAGATAAGTTCAAGCTGTTCGTAAGAAGAATGGTATATACATAGCAGAAGATAATTACATGTAAGTAAGAGTGGAGATTATTGTTCAGGGAAATCAATAGTTTCAAGGGAGATAAGTTCATGGGGCTTGTGAGAATGACTGTAAATACATAGCAGAAGAAGATTGCATTTAAGTGTAAAGAAGACTGTTCATTGTTAAAACAAATTGGGTTATCATGTTAAGATGTAATTTGATCAATACTGAAAGGATCATCTCAACAGTTCAAGACAATGATGTTCATTACAATACAAAGATCAGTAACCAAGACAACAGTTCAAGACAATGATGTTCATTACAATACAAAGATCAGTAACTAAGACAACGGTTCAAGACAATGATGTTCATTACACTACAAAGATCAGTAACCAAGACAACAGTTCAAGACAATGATGTTCATTACAATACAAAGATCAGTAAACAAAACAAAACACAGTTTTATAAAGGATTTTCCATTTTAATGATCTTGTTGAAGGAACAAAAAACATATTATATGAACAGCAATTCCACAGGATTATTTTTCTACTAACACTTCATTTTATCAACAAAATTGTACAAGGACCAGCAGACAAGTGTAAAAATGTGTTGATTATGCTATAACCTGTTGTAATGAATACCCTTATACCTGTCAGATTATTGTTGTGTCCTTCTGAACTATAGATTTTCATTTTGTGTTCATTTATATCTCAGTGAAATACTAAAAAGTGTTAACATAGGTTACAAAAGTTGTTTCAACAACATGGTGAATCAAAGTGTAAACCAAGGTTAAAAATTAATATGGACTGAACACAAGTATTGGTAGATTTACAAATTGTATATGAATTATATATATTTCAGAGCCATGCAAACAAAGATAACACAGCAGCATGATTCAATCAGGGAAATGGAAGAACAGATAGCTGCTCTAACTGAAGAAAGAGACAAGGTTTGTCATTGTTCTCAAATCTATTCATACTGGAATGTTATTTTATTTCAGACTTAACTTTTTAACACGAAGAATTTACTGTCTACATTTTCTGAATGTGTCAATTATGAACAGCCACATGACTAGGAATAGAGACATGTATTTATAGTATGATGACATTTGTTTAAAATGTAACTAGAGAAGTAAATTTTAGAATAGACAGTACATGTTTATCTCCCCCACTTGATAGTTTAGAAAAAAAAAAATATTTATCTAGTAAACGTTTGTTTATATTGAATTAATTACCCAAAGCTATCATTTGTATTATATGAATCGAAATTCTTTTGTATGTTAAAAGAAAAGACTTCATTTACTTTAACTTTTCTAGGTAACCGATTTATTTACCATGACTAAACAAGAATTAGAGGAGACCTCACAGCAGTTAACAATCACAACAGAAAACTTGGTAGCTACTACAGAGACATTACAAGAAACAAAGGTCACTTTATGTGAAACCAAACAAGACCGTGATGAACAGCACCATCTGCTGGGGAAACATGTGGAAGCTGAGGAGAACTTGTTTAATGAAGCAAAACAGGTACTACAGAAAGGAATGATTTTGTGTCACAGTTATGATTTATATTTTATCTCTTTAAAAAATTACCATTCTGATACACATGATATAGCTGTTAACTGTTACCCACTGCATCATTCTGTCCAACTGAATTATGTAACAGGGATACAGTAGCAATATAAGATACAATAAACTTTTTCCATCATATCATTCTTTTGTTACAGTATAATTTACAAAATGGATTGACATATTTTATAAAAATCTTCTTATTTTCATTAAAGTTATGTGATGTCAATGCTGACACAGACAAATTAATAAAAACTTTGGTCCAAGGTTTAATATATAGGGATGGAACCAACTATTAACTCTATCTGTCTTGTATTGTTTAGTTCATGAGTTCTATGAAAAAAATTAAATTAATAGTTTGTATATTACATTGACAAAAACTCATGCTGAAAAATATGTAACATAATAAAAATCTGATTTGAAATAGATCATTGATTTTGGAATATTAATAGAAAGCAAATGGACTTCGCTGCATTTGTTTGCACCTGTCCTAAGTCAGGAACCTGATGTTCAGTGGTTGTCGTTTGTTGATGTGGTTCATAAGTGTTTTGTCGTTTCTCGATTTTTATATAGATTAGACCGTTGGTTTTCCTGTTTGAATTGTTTTACACTAGTCATTTTTGGGGCCCTTTATAGTTTGCTGTTCGGTGTGAGCCAAGGCTCTGTGTTGAAGGCCGTACTTTTGAGCTATAATGGTTTACTTTTAGAAATTGTGATTTGGATGGAGAGTTGTCTTATTGGCACTCATACCACATCTTCTTACTTCTATTTAGAATTGACATCTCTGATTAACATGTTTTACGTGATAAAAAAGATGTATATAAGTTTCTTAACATTCTTTCAGCTTTTGGATACAGTACAATCTACATCATCTGATGTTTATGGCTTACATGATAAAATAGACCGTAAAAAGAAAGTAGAGCAACACAATGAGGAAACACAAGTTTCATTCCAAAATAGATTTCAAACTGAAGTTGCCAGCATGCAAGACAAACTGACAGAATTTGTTTCCTTACAGAAGACTTCTTACAACAGTCTTATGGATCAATCAAGTAAGTTTATTATTTCAGGGTTATCAATATGCTTCAATGCTGATTCTACTTTTTATCAGCAATATGATTTCCAGTTCAATTTTGGAGTCCATACATAGTACATATACAAAAAATGTATCTTCCTACAAAATCCCATTATGTCACCTTTGTACTACAGTCAACTCCACTTAATCACAAACCTGTTAATTGCATAATATTCTCCTGCACAAAACCATTTCCCGTTCATCTAATGTTAAAAAGAATCCGGTTATCTGCATAGCCTTACAAGTGGCCTTTTGGTTAATTGCATAGAAAATAATCGTCAGCTAGATATGCTTAGTTAAAACTGATGAGTTTTTTTGACTGAAACGACAATTTGGTAAGTATATTTTTCTTTAATGCATTTTTATTTTCATTATTATTTTATATTCACTTTGTGTGTTGTTTAAATAAAGTTTTAAACAGTTTCTTTCGTGTTTTTATGATGCCATATTGATTTATTTCCCTCAATGTGTACACAGGTAAATTTGTTTCCTTTGTTCTATTTTAAGCCTCAAGGTCATAAAAATGTCAAACTGGTAATTGTTGTAAAATATGACCATTCTTTCTCAAAAGGTGTTAATAATGGATTGGGTTTCAAACATAGTCCACATAAAAATTAGGGTGAAATTTAAATACAATGCCTCTTGCTAATTAAATTTCAAAGACCATCCAATGTGTAGACTCGTAATTTCGGCTTGGGGTAAATTGCTTTCAGGTTTAACATTACAGGGCATTAATATATGGTTGATAATTTTTATATGTCAAACATTTATTTTTTGTAATTGTTGAAATGAGCATTTACTTAAAATTATTATATTTTCTCATGTTCAACACTAGCGTCAAGCTTATAACCCGTAGAGGGCTTCTTTACTGCTTTGCATATACGGACACTATCGAGGGCAACTAGAACGAAGGGTTAAATTCCTAAAGCCATAGGGCAGGGAGTCTCCTAGAGAGTAGTTCAGGCTGGCATTCAAATAAGCCATTTTGACTTGATTTCAAGAACTATGAAAGATTTTACTGTTTTGATTCAATGCTGTGTTAATTTAACCTTCATGTTAGCTGCATGGAGGTTATTGTTTGTAATATAGCATTACACATTCCTCTTGAATATTGACATATTGATTTCTATTTATTTCAAATGAATGCTTTTATAAGCAATGCTTAAGTTTTTTCATACATCTACAGTTAACTGAATTATTATCATTGCTTAATTTATTAAAAAGTTTATTGTCTTATTATTACATACATTGCACATCTGTAAATCTTGTTATTCCATATGTCTGCTCATACAACGTTATGTTTTAATATGATATACAGCAACAAACGACAACCACTGAATTACAGGCTCCTGACTTGGGGCAGGCACATACAGAATGTGACGGGGTTAAACATGTTAGCGGGCGCTCAACCTTCCACCTAACAGTGGTGTAACAGTACAACATATGAACAAACTTTAAAAATCAGTTGAAAAGGGCTTTCCTTACTTGACCATATCAATAAATATGTCTTTCAGAGAACTTATTACAGAGGAGGCAAGAGGAAGTAACTACACTTTGTTCACATATAGCTGATCTTCATTCTAATATAACCTCTCACACTGAAGAGTTAGTATCCTGTCAGGGGAGACAATTAGACAACACAACCACATGGGCTGATAGAATTAAGACAGACACCACATCAAAGAAGGTGAGATTAGTTATTCTTATAGCAAATATTGTAATAAAGAAAAGTGCTCTAGTTTGTGAAAATTTTCATTTTTAAGTTTATTCAATGAAAAATTCATGAATAACGCCCAACATTTATTCAGGCAAAAGCAGTGGTTGAATTGTTATCAGATCCCAATTTTGCTTTGTTTTGAGCAAGGATCTGGAACTGTTTTCACACAATTTAGGTCATTGTAAGAGGGCTTGTAAGTTGGTGTCATTTTCTTCAAACAGTCAATAACAGAAGTCAAGATGCTAGAAACATTTTCTGAATATTAAATGAATACTTGTGGTTTTGTTGTTGCAAGAATGTATACAAGATTATATAAACTGTGTAATACAAGACTACATTTATTCATGTAGTGATAATTAATTTGACTTTTGAACTCGCACCATATCATTTCAGATGGAGGAAAGTCAAACGATGTCTACCTTTAAGTCAGAGGAGTATGTTCCTCTTATGACAAACATACACCAGAACCTAACTTCTACACTAAACAAGTTGTCTGATGAAAAACAGTCTATGACCACACAGGTTAGTAATCCAAATAGTATAAAAACCCCAGTTTGTAGTCAAAAAGACTGACAACACAAACACAGGCTTAAGTTATACAGTATATGACAACACTGGTTTGTGTAGTCAAAAACAGTATGACAATACAAGTTTGTATAGTCAAAAGCAGTATGACAATACAAGTTTGGGTAGTCAAAAGCAGTATGACAATACAAGTTTGTGTAGTCAAAAGCAGTATGATAATAAAAGTTTGTGTAGTCAAAAGCAGTATGAGAATACAAGTTTGTGTAGTCAAAAGCATATGACAATACAAGTTTGGGTAGTCAAAAGCATATGACAATACAAGTTTGTGTAGTCAAAAGCAGTATGACAATACAAGTTTGTGTAGTCAAAAGCAGTATGACAATACAAGTTTGTGTAGTCAAAAGCAGTATGACAATACAAGTTTGTGTAGTCAAAAGCAGTATGACAATACAAGTTTGTGTAGTCAAAAGCAGTATGACAATACAAGTTTGTGTAGTCAAAAGCAGTATGACAATACAAGTTTGTGTAGTCAAAAGCAGTATGACAATACAAGTTTGTACAAAAAAAGTCTTTGACAATACAGGTTTGTGATTGAGTTCACTTATTTTTATTATAATATCCCACTCTAGGAGTGAGGGCTGTATTGCGTTCAGTCCGTTTGTTGGTCCTTCTGTAACACGTTTCACAGGTTCCACTGAACAGAATGACTTCATATTTTGTCAGCAGCATTACAGTGATGATTTGTAACGTGATCACTTTGTGGATCTGGTTTTGTTTGTTTATACTCTGTATATTATGAGTGGTGGTATGCTTAGCACAACGATGGCGTGCATTCTTGTTTAGTCTTACTTTTCATTTTTGTTGCAGCATTTTTTCTGGCGGTATATGTCTTTTATTTTATAAGTACTAGTTCAGATTGTACTTTCTGCACCTTGTTTTTTCCCTATTCCTCAGTTTTGTATAAAAGTTAAGGGGGCCTTTTATTTACCTTTCCTGGACCAGTGTGAACTACTGTTTCACTGTGAGAATAGAAGACATTTTGTGATAAATTAAGATCATGGAATGTGAATTCCAAAATTTATATAAAATATGTTACTCATGAAACTTGCACATTGATGAAAGGTTGCAGTTCAATACTAAAGTTTTATTTCTAGTATTATGTGCTTAAATTTGGATCACTGTTGATTCGTTAGTTTATTTGTATTTTCAGTCTTGCTAAATATCCAAAATACTTTACAATGATGATTATATAAGTTATATGGTTTGCTACAGACCCCCTACGGATCCATAGAGGGTTAGTAAAATCCTTAAGGGGTGAGGCTGAAGGCCGAATCTCCTATGAATTTTACTAACCCTCCATGGATCCGTAGGGGGACAGTAGTGAACTGTGTAACAAATTTATAGCACTCAGAACCTCTCCTGCTAAGTTATGTATTAAAATAAACAATGAAATACTATAACATTAATCGATGACGTCACCATTAATTGTTAATGTGATGTCATGAACCCCATATGAAATCTACTGACCCATACAGATCCATAGGGAGTCACCATGTGATGGCATTAAACCAATCATAAAGTCGTAATTTATCAGAGGTGCGATAAGAAGTAATAAATGTAATGCTTTTTACTGATTTGAAATGTATTTCAAATGAGGTTACGATTGTTTCATTTTATTGACATATCAAATACTACTGGAAGTCATATTGCAAAATGTTTGCATAAATTACAAACTGAAAATATTTATTCCCAAGATTTTGCATTTATCAAATTCACAATCACATCTTTAGAGAAACATTCATCTTAAAGTACCATTATCATAATTGAGTAACATCATGTATTCATATTCAATTACCAACAAAAAATTTATTAATACCCTTGACAAGGCTTCTATCAAATTTAAATTTTAAACCCTTTTAATATATGTTATATTAAAGACTTAAGTCCTTCTGATATTACTGAACTCAATGTGATTAAAGCATTATATATTACTTGTACTGTACTTGTATTCCATCCTTCTGTTTGTTCAGCAACCTGCAATTGAGGATATGTTGAATGATTGGGCCACAAATCTTCAGACAAGTTTGGCTAGTATAGTTACCATGGTTACAGAGTACACAAGTCAACAAGAAGAAAAGATGGAATGGCTTCAGAAAAATTTGACAGAGCAGCATGATATTGATCAGGTATAAAAAGTTGAACAAAGAAAATCTACGCAGATGTGATTACAAATGTCCAGAAATTTCAACATCCTCTAAAAGGTGTTAACATGTATTTTGGAAAGACTTTGATCTTTCTATATCACAATATTAGGGAAATATGAATCATTGGAAGATAACTGTAATAAAAAAACATAGGATTTAGAAAGCCTATTATTAAAGTGCATAAGCATTTTTTGTTAATTGAATGATATGTTACATTTTCTATAGAATTCAATATTATTTTAAATCCTTTACAGGAAATGGTGAAATTATTGGAAAGAAGACAAGGCTTATTGAAAAATGTAAGTAATTAATACTGATTATACAAGTTGGTTCAAAATAGTAAGTTGTTTATTTTCAATAAACCTGTGAATTTTTTTGAGGCAAAATCTATTAAATTGAAGGTTATCTATTGCGGCTTGCCAATGTGAATACAAAGTCAATTTGCTTTTTTTGTTTAAGGAATGACTGTTATATTTTTTCTGTCTATGAAGAAATAACATCAAAAATGTGGTGCGCACTGAATAACCTGTGTAGCGGGTTATTTAAAAGTGTGGTCCACATTTTTTATGGTATTTCAAATAGACAGAAAAAATATTACAGTCGTTCCTTATAATTTAATTCTAAATTCCATTTTTAAGGAGTAAATCATGAAAAAACGTCGATGACGTAACGGTCACATGACAAAATTATGTCTATGAGCTGATAGACAAAAAACTTTCAGCTAATCAGAAGACATGTTACATCCCAAATTAAATTATTTCAAAATGCACAATATTATGACAAATTCAATTGCTTAAAAAGATCCTTGACGACAATAACAAAATAAGCTGTTATGACAAAGCAAAGGATATGGTATATTATTTCACTCCTAGCTGTCAGTACTGTCTGGTAAGCATATAAGGTACATCATTTGACTACCTATCTTCTTTTATAGTTTTGAAGCTAGAAACTTTTTATGCAGATTTAAATTCATATACGAGAGATGTGCGTACTGTCATAATTTAGAGTTTTAGTATTTTTTCACTAATTTAAGGGTTGTTGAATTCCCTTTCAACTGTACCTGAATTCTAAAAGGAAGACAATGTGACAATCAAATATTACATCGTCCTATTTGTCTCTCTGATCCCTGTACGCATGTTAGATTTTATATCGATGAAAGCAACTTGGGAGAAAATTCGCCTATCAAACAAGTATTTAACTGATCCCTCAATGAAAATACATATTTTGAAAACCAGTTACCGGTAACAGAAACAGACCTAAAAAACATTCTGGCTTGAAAAATTGTAAATGATTGATCAATGTCAAATATAATTTAGGCCACTGCTTTCATATGGGTCATCAGGCTTTTATCTTATATCTGCTGGTAGAGTGTATTTTTTTTTTTAATTTTGCTAATCTTATATAAGTATGTTGCCCATCCATCTAAGTCTTTGACCCGTTGTTTAAAACATCAGTTATTTGAACAATTTCAGACAAATGAGTATGTAGAAGACAGAAAACAAGCCATTAAACAGTTCTATCATAAAGCAGAAAGGTAAGGGGTTAATGTATAATGTAAATAGATACAAATATGTTATTCCATACCATTTTACACAAATTTATTTATACATTTGTGAACATAGAAATTCAATGATTATTTTAAAATTTTTCCATGAGTTTGTGATTTCAGATTAAAAAATTTATTGGAGTCAAGTCCCATAACTCTGAAATAACTTATCTGAAAGTTGCAAAAACGAAATGAGGGCATTTTTCAGTTGTGACATTATCAAATTTATTATTGGTACAGTGAAAGCAACTTTAGTTATTACCAGACATGAACAATCACCTATGTTTATGCCCAGTCTGAAATATCACAGTTTACACTATTCACTGATTATAGCATTGTGATAGTGAGAAACTAGTACATTCTCAGGATAAAGAATTCTGTTAAGATGGTTTACCAGGATCTTTTGATAACATCAACTTGAAACATGCTTTTTGAATTATATGACAAATTATAATTTTGACCATGGTAGTGTGTTTGCTTGAGTGCGGGAGGTTGTGGGTTCGAACCCCGGCTTGGTCAAACCAAAGACTTTAAAATTGGTATTTGCTGCTTCTATGCTAAGCACGCGGCATTAAAGAGTAAGAGCAAAAAGACATGTCTTCGTGCAAACTGTTACCTTGTGAACTAGCACATTAAAAATCCAGCTCAGAGTGTCGGTCTAGTACAAAGCAGGGTTAATATTCATATTACAATAACATGTTCTCGTCCTGAATATGCATATTGATTTGCCGCTGGACGTTAAGCAACCATCCATCTTAATTTTGACCCAGATTTCATGGTTCACTGAACATGGACATATGATATTATACCTTACATATATGATAAACAATTCTGTTTGGTAACAAAATGGCATCGACCAGGTTAGAAACCCATTGAGTGACGAGGAAACAAGACTTGGAAATTAATCTAATGCAAAGAATATCCCTCACAAACAGCCCTTTTCAGGGTCATCAATATTTTATTGAAAGAGTCTTCCTTTTGTTCTACATATAAGAAATCTAACTTAGAATCTAAGACACAAAATAGTTTTTAACGTAATTATTTTGACAATCAGTTACTACAATAAGGCAAGTTCTTCTTCAATGGCTCAGTCTATCAAATTCTACAGACAGAAAAAAATAATAAGCCATATAATCTCTGTATAGGTAAAAGACTATTACTATTAAGATGTTTGCATTTAGAATAGTGAAAAGAAAATGAGGTTATAATTCAAAATAAACTTGTATTATTTTAGCAAATTAAAGGAGGTCCAGAAAGAAAATGAAGTGAATTGTCAGAAGATTACCAAGTCAACCTCTGAAAACTGCCAGACAAATCTGATGGAGGTAGACAAGGTAAGAAGCTAGTTTTATTTGTCTGTTACAAGGCGTTCTCAGGTCCATTGACATTTTCTTTTTCTTTTTATGTGCCAGCATTGAATATTTTTTGTATCTTTTCAATAAAAAATAATGGATATGCAGTTTGGTATAAGCTAATAACAGAAAAAAGCTCCTTTTCAGTCATTCAAACGTAACATCAGTTGTGTCGCATAGTATACAACAGGGAATACTACAGTAGACTTCACCTAATCGGATATCGGCTAAACGAATATATCGGCTATTGTAATGATATTTCAAAACACCAAACCCTTCCCTATATGTTTAATGTTAATTTTATCGTGTAATCGAATATCAGATATAAGAATATATCGGCAAATCGGATAAAAATATTCAGGAAAATTTTGTTAAAACTATGCACAATCAGATATTTTCAATGTTTTTCTGACAGGAAATGGACACGGAAGTTACGCAATTACAATCTTGCAGACAAGAAAATTTTGTTTTTTATTAATTAAAGGAAATATTTCTTAATAAATTGTTGTCTTTAGAGCAGTACGTTAGGACAATTTTGATATAATTCCAAGTGCTCACAGAATCAGAAATATAATTCAAACTGAATGTACCTCTTTCTTAATAATTTATTGCAATATACATATAAATTCCTTTTGACAAGAGAAATCTGACTTTTGTCAGATATAATTTTGTAACATGTGCATAACCACATGTCATGGACGCCATTTTTGTTTTGGTTACATAATGTGAAGAAGCCTCGAAAACTATGACCTTAAGATTAACAGTCTTCAGAAAACTTGATGCAATAATAAATTATCAGTCATGATTATCTTCATTGATATTCAAATTAATTTGATTTTTTTTAAGAAATAAACTATATACCAAGTATGATTTCAGTTTAGAGATTGTACACAGCTGTAATCTATTTATAGCCCATTAAACTTACCTGTGATTAAAATGTAATTGTTAATGTAAATATGGATATTACTTCGTTTATAAAACAAATAGTGACACAAACTATGGATGGTAGATATTTATTCACATAAATAATTCAGGACATTTGATTTATTTTAATAAATATAGGATTTAAAAATTGAAAACAAATAAGAGCATAACACAACCTGCTGATAATTTTTTTACACAAACATCGTGGTGATGTATCTGATAAAAATCACTTCAACCCTTTTACTATTTTATAGCAATTGTTAGGGCTAGTAACATCTCAGAATAAGTCGACTCATTATTGCAGAATATTCAGTGAATATACATTTATCGTCTAATATTGAATGGGTAATGGGATATTTTTTGCTGACATTTTGGGTATCCGATTTGCAGGAGTCTACTGTACTATATTGCTTTAGATTATAGGGAATCTTAACTTGGGGTTTTAAAGTATTGTAAGGGAAAACTGGTCAAAACATATGCATATTCATACATATTCATAGTAACACACTTGGCTGCAGTGTTGAAAATCATGATCCTTTTCTGGGTCAATCTTTATATTAGAAGTTGTCAAAACAGGGTTTACCTTTTATTTATAGATACACACAGAAGTTGCTGCATGTATGGATGCATGCAACTTGTCAAAAAGTAAAGTTCTGGAATTCCAAAATGACAGAGAACAGGTAAGTTATATCAACATATTGTAACTGCAGAAACAAACTTGATGAGATGCAACAATGTGTTTGAGAGAAAACAGTACTGAAGATAGAAATTTATAGAGGTAAAATTTTATAACTGACACTAAGCTTGTGGTATTTATTGGAGATATTTTAGAATATTGGGGAAGGTGGGCTGGTTGTAGGAGTATTGGAACAGTTTATAAAGGCCACCTATAATAAATTGTTGGACGGCATACTAGTGGATTCTCTTGTGTATATATATATATATAAAATAGAAAGCAGCAATCACAGTAAAATTTTTCCGTCATAGTATGTAAGCAGTCAAATACCCAAGATTTTTATAAAATGATGTATAGGGTTTGAAATAAGCAGTTGTTCACTAGCCGTTTGAGAGTGCTTTTTAATGTGGGCTTATGAAAATCCAATTTTGTTGGCCCACATAGTGATGGCACTTTTAAAATTGTTATTATTAAAAATTGAAATTGCATGTTATCGAGCAATTCACAGAAGCTTGTATGTTTTCCTTTAAGTTTTTCACAACTGAATTCAGATGTAAGCAAAGTTAATAATTGCATACTTGTGTTTTGACTAGGCTATGCAAATAACTAATATTAACTATACCACTAACATTCTAATTTGATATGTAATATCTCTGACTTCTGTTATATGTTTTGGGCATTACAATCAGGAATAAGTGAACACACAAGCATATATATAAATACTAAATATTTTTGGTTACTAAGAATTATTGTGAACCCCAAAATTTATTTTACATGGGGCCCACATGGCTCAAACAAAATCAAACCCTGATTTTTTTTATATAACTTTAGATGAATTTACTTGCTCTCATATGGTATCTCCTCGTCATTATCACCTAACAACACAAAGATAGGTGAAAAAAAAGGGTATGGAGACAAATCTAATTATCTGTACTAAACATGAGATGTTATACCTAAGTATGATGATTTTTAGGTATGGTCTGTCTTTGAAGAGAGAATCTGCTCAAGCGTAGAAGAATTTAAACAATCTAGTCAACAAAATTCAGAGAAATATGCAGAAAAATCAATGGTGAGTATTGTTGCACAAGCATTTTAATGGCACTTGCAAAATAGAAACATTTTCACAAACAATTGAATTTGATGCTGTGAAGGCCAATGCAACCTACACTATTTTTCTTTACCTGTTTTAATTTCTTAAACGGAAATAATGGGAAACACCTGACTGATTGTGAGTAAGTTTTTGCATGATAAAAAGTCAACATAAAAAATAAATATTAATGAATCTTAACTTCAGACAAAAGTTATGGTTTATAGGGAAAATAACATTTTCATTGTCAAATTTATATACACTTTAAGTTTGATTTAAAAACATACCTATTTATATAGAAATATTTCCATTATTTTAATGAGCAATCATTCTCTAGGTAAATAAAAAAAAAATTATCAATTAAAATGTATATTTTGGAAGCAATTTTTTTTTCAAAGAAAAAAGGGAGTACCGTTCCTACTCGCTTATTAGTCGGAAAATTGGGAGTAAAATTCATAATCCAGAGAGGGGGGCCGACTAATAGACGAGATCTAGCGACCAGAGGAAAAATCCAAGCTTGAGAAAAGTGGTCAGGAGTGAATTTCCTGGTCAAAACTACGTTTTTGATTGCCAAACCTACATAAATCAATAAATAAAAAGTTTTTGTTGAAAATAAATGACTTCAATACTGTCTTTGTGTTTTATTTGTTCTTTGGTAAACATTTTCTGCAAATTCGTGTTGAAATTCTACTGTTTCCGGTTTGTGTATTGATTTTCATGGTCTCATGGTTTTCCTATAAACCCAAAAGAAGAGCCAAGAACCAAAAATGAAAAGGAGATAACAATGTACCAAATATGTGAAAGGATGTTTTCAGTGGAGTTATTGTGTCATTATTGTGATATCATGATATCAATTCAATGCTTATAAATCATATAATAATCAAAAAATAATAATTTTAAGATTCATTCCCAAAATCAAAATATTATTCATTATAGTGTCTCAGGTAAACAAAAATTACAAAATTGATTGACAAGCCAATATAATCCATTGATAACCCCAATTAAGAGACAAAGAGTTGTATTCACTAAAGGTGTGAAAACTATCAGTGATAGGTAAACAGATGACACTAATGAGTTGGAGTTAGTTATTTTAATATATTGATTAGCTTCACTTAATTTTTTTAATCCTTTAATCATCACAATATGATAAGAATTATGAAGTGTACATGCTCATTTAACACCGAGTTATGTATGCTGTGAAAAATATTTTCATCAAGTGTTGATTGACTTTAAATTTTTCAGGTTCATATTGGTTTATATTCGCTTTTCTCAAACAATAGGTTGTTAGTCATACCCTTCAAAATCATTGATGCATTACGTAAACAACACATGGCTAATCTAACATTTGAACAGTGAACAAAACAAGAGAAATGAATACATCTTTATTATTAACAGCAATATAAATTATCATGATGAGCATCAACTAAATTCAAACCAAACATTAATGCAGAAATGAATATTATTCCTGGATTTGCATTGGTTCTACCGGCGTTCAGTTACTGTCAGCTGAAAAAAAAATGCCCAAATTTTGTCCGACTTATACGAGGGTCAAGACTAAATCCTTAGAATTTGGAGCTGAAAAGGGCCCCCGACTTATAGTAGGATCGACTATTAGGCGAGTTTATACGGTACATTCTGGTTTTACAATATTCAGTAATTGATAAAAACTGATTGATTTGCAATTGTAAATTTGTTACCTAACCTGAATTATTCATATTTTTATAAAAGATAGCCTATATAATATCTAAATCCTAGATTCTTTACACCAGAATAAGTACACTACAATACTGGTGTATTTTAAAGATTTGTCGGAAAATTGAATATGTTTTTTTTAACAATTGTATTTCCGAGAAAAGTTTATTTAACACTCAATTTCATTTAATGTTAGCAAAATGATGCCTACCAATTAAATAAGCAATACATATCTAAAATGACTGCCCAGTTCAACAGTGACAATCTACTTTTTAAATTCTGTTTAATATGTCTGGTACCTGTATAATTTGTTTAACAGTATTCTTTGCCACATTACAAAATGATTCTCACCTCCACATACTGCTGTAAAAACCATTGTTAATATTACATATTGAATGTAAGTCAAATTGTTTGTCATACACAATGTTCATCTCAATTCATTTCTATTTAAATGTATTTTAGAGTTTAACAGATCACTCCAAGGAAAGCACAGACAAACTGATATCCCATGCTAACCAAAACCATACAGAAGTAGTCAAACATATGGAAGTCAGTCAGTCACAGATGACAGAACAGATAGATCATGTGACTGAATGGTCACAGTGTTTGACTTGTGAATTAAACAGGAGAACAGAGGATATACAGAACTTTTTGGCTGAAGAAATAAAGAAAGATATTCCTACAGGTAAGTCTATTCATAGTTGGGAAATTATTTCATCTTGAACATATTTTACAAGATTTTTTTTTGAAAATAAATAGATCAGCAAGGTTTCCTTGAAAGAAAAAATCTTTGAGAAAATGAATATTTCAGTCATTAAAACTTTGTTGTGCTTGTGTACTTGCATATGATTCTGTCAATTATTGTTATTAAATTTTGTTTGGTCCTGGCAATTTCAAACTACTAAGCCTCGAATATCACACTTTTGTTATGTATCTAAATACAATTCAACACTTCTTATATTTTTATACTTTTTGTTGTATTAACAGGTTTAACTCCTCAGAGACGTGAGATTACTTATCCCAGAATCCTCACTAAAACTGATGATCATGGTGTGATCCTGACAGATTTCAGATCAACATATCAACAAGATCCAATAGTGATGAACTTAGATTCACAGTTAGCAAAAGTTGATGAGGAAGATAGTACACCAAAAATAGTTATAGAACAGGTAGATACATCACACTCTTTGAACTTAGAATCACAGTTAGCCACCGTTGATCAGGAAGAAAGTACATCAAAAATAGTTATAGAACTGGTAGGTACATCACACTCCTAGAACTTTGAATCACAGTCAGTCACTGTTGATGAGGAAGATAGTATACCAAAAATAGTTATAGAACAGGTAGGTACATCACACTCTTAGAACTTAGAATCACAGTTAGCCACCGTTGATGAGGATGAAAGTACACCAAAAATAGTTATAGAACCGGTAGGTACATCACACTCTTAGAACTTAGAATCACAGCCAGCCACCGTTGATGAGGATGAAAGTACACCAAAAATAGTTATAGAACTGGTAGGTACATCACACTCTTAGAACTTAGAATCACAGTTAGCCACCGTTGATGAGGATGAAAGTACACCAAAAATAGTTATAGAACCGGTAGGTACATCACACACTTGGAACTTAATCACAGTTAGCCTCCGTTGATGAGGAAGATAGTACACCAAAAATAGTTATAGAACAGGTTGGTACATCACAGTACACCAAAAATAGTTATAGAACAGGCAGGTACATCACACTCATTCTTTTCACAGGATGGCTGTATTTTTTTAATTTCAGTCAGAAAATAATGTATGATTCCAATTTCCATTCAGGAGTAATTGAGAAAAAAATGTTTTGACAGCCAAAAATATAGAATGTTTTAGAGCATGAAAAACAATGAGTCTTAAAAAAAAAAGAACAGCTGTATTACATCAACTGTGCTTGAGTGAGTTGGAACCTTAGTACAATTTTATAAAAATGGGGAGAATAAACTAAGGGGTCAATCAAAACCCTTTAGCAGAAAAAAGAAAAAACAACATGGTCAAAACCAAAAAGATGAACAGACAACAGTCCAAAATCTTTTAAAGCATTGGTTACTGGGATTGAATCCACAGACATCCACCCTATAGTAGCCAGATAAATGTATAATACCAATGTCATACATATATTGAATCTTTGTGTGATAGAACAGTTTTAATACTGGTTTCATATGAATTCTTTTGTATTGTATGAACAGAATCCATGTTTCTGTTGTGAATGAGGAATTTTCTTTTTTCTAAGAAAAAAGTATTAAGAATCTAGGCTTAAGTAATTCGTGAAGACAAAATACATTTACAAAGTGGAAATTACTGCTAAAAAAAATTAACATATAATAACCCTTATGAAATAAGGATTTGTTTAATCGCACATTGTGAGCTTAGCATTAGGCAGGTTGAAGTGGTGTTGTAGGTTGGCATATTGTGATTAATGCCTTTGTTCAAGGAGAACATACTATGTAAATCTTGTCACACCTTAATCACCTGTTTTAGGTAAATGGAGAGGAGGAAATAATGCGGGATGACATGAGTGATTGTAGCAGTAGGTCATGTAAATCTTCAACGTCTGGTATCTCAACTATGTCTGGATTCAGTAAAGTAAGTTTTATTATTTGAATAATGTGTCGTGTAAATCTTTAACATTTAGTATCTTAACCATAATGTGTCGTGTAAATCTGCAACATTTAGTATCTTAACCATAATGTGTCATGTAAATCTTTAACATTTAGTATCTTAACCATAATGTGTCGTGTAAATCTTTAACATTTAGTATCTTAACCATAATGTGTCGTGTAAATCTTTAACATTTAGTATCTTAACCATAATGTGTCATGTAAATCTTTAACATTTAGTATCTTAACCATAATGTGTCGTGTAAATCTTTAACATTTAGTATCTTAACCATAATGTGTCATGTAAATCTGCAACATTTAGTATCTTAACCATAATGTGTCATGTAAATCTTTAACATTTAGTATCTTAACCATAATGTGTCGTGTTAATCTTTAACATTTAGTATCTTAACCATAATGTGTTGTGTAAATCTTTAACATTTAGTATCTTAACCATAATGTGTCATGTAAATCTGCAACATTTAGTATCTTAACCATAATGTGTCATGTAAATCTGCAACATTTGATAAGAAAGGGGTATATTGGTTTACCGTAGTCAGATGTCTGTCCCAATTCTCTCAGCAAATAAAATTCATAGCTTTTAATATGGCATCAAGCTTCACCTAGTTCTGCCATATTTTTGTGACAAGTTTTCAGTTACTTCAGTGTTCTACTTCTTGTTTGCTAAAGATATATCTTATAATCCTCACATTTAAATAATATTGTAATATATTAAATGAAAAAATAGTGGAGTTGTGTTGTTAAGACAAAATGCAGACTTCATAAACTAAAAAAAAAATATAGAGACATCTATTAACCCTTTCACCGATAGCCGCCCTGACAGAAGCTACTCTGAGACGATGGCTTCCCTGGCTATTGTGGGAGATCTTCAAATTAAATATCAATAAAAAATGGTCTGTAGTTATTTAGGTCTTTATTTTTTCACTTACACCATGGACACAGAGTTGTTAATGTTTTGATAAATTTTTTGTCTGAACAAAATCTAAATTTGCCAATTTTCAGCATTAAAATAGATGAAATACACGAAATTTCGACTTTTTGACCCAAAATCGTAATTTTGTAACCCAAAACGGCAAAAGTTTGAAAATTTTAACGAGGTTGAACAAATTCCTTACACTGAACGATTTCCATTCCAAGTGTTTTTGTACATAAAACGGCATGTTATGTCAAAAAAGTATACTAGTCTGGCTTCAAATCTTCCAAATTCTTTTCAAAAAAATGTTCCCTTATTTCAAATTCCAGTCAAACCGTAAATTTCATCTGATTTTGACATGGTTTTCAACAAACCAAAGCGCCATGTTTACACTTTCATCCGAGTATTAAACAAAGAAAGATAACTTGTGTTTGCAATGATTTTCAGAGGGAAATATAAAAGACGTATTCCAATCCCGGTAAACCGGGACTCGTCATCAGCTGTCTGAAGCGTGAATCCCGGTAAACCGGGGTTCGTCGGCGAAAGGGTTAAACATTGTTTGTGTGTTGAATGTTGATAACTTTTTTTATATTGGAAATTGTATATTAATCCTTTCATATATAAAGATTTACCCAATGGTACTAATATAAGATGTAATATATGTAGATGATGTTATAAAATCATGTTGACAAATATTTCGGCTGAAAAAATAGCCTTTGTCAGTGTCAATAATTTTAACAATACTATTTGTTTATGTAAAATAGCTCATTAATACAGGTAAATTCTTTACTATTGATTTAATTTAAAATCTTGAACCTCATCAAACAAAACAAAATTCAATACTCTATAAACGTGGCTGTGTATCTATACATCACAAAGTGTCAAAATGCAGTAGTTTGTATAAATGTATATAAAATAATAAAAGAGCCTCTCTATCAAAATGCTAATAATAGTCATTGAAAGCAGCCTTTCCAAAAATGCCTCAATGGCAGTAGATGTGATATCTCTAAGAAGCCACTCCTCTCACTTAGCTAGCATTTCAGACAGATCATAAACTTGTTGACTTTAACTGCATGAAAGTCCTAGTGATTGAACAGAACATTCACTGGAGTGATGCCAAAAATCTTGAACCTCATCAAACAAAACAAAATTCAATACTCTATAAATGTGGCTGTGTATCTATACATCACAAAGTGTCAAAATGCAGTAGTTTGTATAAATGTATATAAAATAATAAAAGAGCCTCTCTATCAAAATGCTAATATTAGTCATTGAAAGCAGCCTTTCCAAAAATGCCTCAATGGCAGTAGATGTGATATCTCTAAGAAGCCACTCCTCTCACTTAGCTAGCATTTCAGACAGATCATAAACTTGTTGACTTTAACTGCATGAAAGTCCTAGTGATTGAACAGAACATTCACTGGAGTGATGCCAAACGAAATGTTCGGGAAAGCTTCTGGATAATGAACTAAATGTACTTCATCCAAATGGCATCAACAGTTAGTACTAGCAGTTTGATAGAGAGGCTCTTCTATTATTTAATATAAAATTTTCAAACATCATCTTCATATATTACCGTCTTATATTAGTACCGCAAATCTTTAGACTTTTATAAGTTTTTTCCTTTTCTGCTCAGCATCCTCTATTCTAGATGATCCGGTACATATTAAATTTGCTGGTTAGTCCTTTTTATAGACTTATATATATATGCATTGTAAAAGCTCTTTCTTCTTACACAAAGAAAGAATACAAATACATTTGTAATTTTATAGCAGTGGTTATTAATTATTTTTGTCCTTTTTATAGGCATCAGATACAAAAGAGAACAGGGTGAGGAAACACCATACCAAGTCTACTTCTAGTTCAACCAGCAAAAAGCCTAAAACAAATCAAGACAATATAACACCAAGAGGGAAGTCACGACTACCACTAAGGAGTAACAACACTGATTCATAAGATATCATTTTTATACAGTATTTAAAAGCCATATATATATCTGTACATAAAGACATTTTAATAGTTTTAGTGGTTCTTGACTTTTTATTCGGTTTTATTTTTTTAGTGTATTCATATCAAGTTGATGTTTGTAATTTTATTCTAGCTAATCTTGTATTTATTAAACCTCAATGTAATATAAAAAAAAATACATGCAATAAAATTAGATCAATTTTTTACAGGAAAATTTGACATTTTTCTATTTATAAATGCATGTGAGGTTCTGATTTTTGAATGATATATCAAGAAGTTGAAAATTAATACAAGGATGGACAAAAATTCCTCGTTGATTTAATTCCCCAGATGCAATAATATTTCCCTTTGAAAGTAATATTTCTTCCAACCAATAACAGTTACAATATAATCATTCTTTTGGTAGTATTAATGATTCAATAAATGATTAGATATATATTTGTCAAAAGCTTAATGTCATATTGTTCTGTATCTTTCTCATTTGCATATAAAAAAGTTTCACAAAACATAAAACATTAATTATGATATTATGTATATTTTTACCCACAAAGAAATGGTAATTTTTATGTTTGCTTGGAGATTGCCTTTCGAGTTTTATGAGTAAATATTAAATTTCGATTTCAGTGTTAGGAATGTTTTCTATCTTTCTTCTTATTCTTAAACTACTCTCACTTTTAATACATACATGCTGAACTCATTTAATAGTAATTACAGTATACTCTGTTAATGAAATATGGCAATTTAAATATTTGTGTATGATGTTTATACACTTACATTTGTTATAATGACTGGTAAATCCCCCAAAAAGAAATGTTTGTTGATGTTTCAACCTTCAGTTATAAGTAATACTGCTGTATTGTTTATTATTTGCTGTATGATGTTATAATATTGTTAAGATTAAAAATCATCCTCATTGTGATGTATTGTACATTGTAGTTACTACCTACAGCTCGTGTATTGTACATTGTAGTTACCTACAGCTCGTGTATTGTACATTGTAGTTACCTACAGCTCGTGTATTGTACATTGTAGTTACCTACAGCTCGTGTATTGTACATTGTAGTTACCTACAGCTCGTGTATTGTACATTGTAGTTACCTACAGCTCGTGTATTGTACATTGTAGTTACTACCTACAGCTCGTGTATTGTACATTGTAGTTACCTACAGCTCGTGTATTGTACATTGTAGTTACCTACAGCTCGTGTATTGTACATTGTAGTTACCTACAGCTCGTGTATTGTACATTGTAGTTACTACCTACAGCTCGTGTATTGTACATTGTAGTTACCTACAGCTCGTGTATTGTACATTGTAGTTACCTACAGCTCGTGTATTGTACATTGTAGTTACCTACAGCTCGTGTATTGTACATTGTAGTTACCTACAGCTCGTGTATTGTACATTGTAGTTACCTACAGCTCGTGTATTGTACATTGTAGTTACCTACAGCTCGTGTATTGTACATTGTAGTTACTACCTACAGCTCGTGTATTGTACATTGTAGTTACCTACAGCTCGTGTATTGTACATTGTAGTTACCTACAGCTCGTGTATTGTACATTGTAGTTACCTACAGCTCGTGTATTGTACATTGTAGTTACCTACAGCTCGTGTATTGTACATTGTAGTTACCTACAGCTCGTGTATTGTACATTGTAGTTACCTACAGCTCGTGTATTGTACATTGTAGTTACTACCTACAGCTCGTGTATTGTACATTGTAGTTACCTACAGCTCGTGTATTGTACATTGTAGTTACCTACAGCTCGTGTATTGTACATTGTAGTTACTACCTACAGCTCGTGTATTGTACATTGTAGTTACCTACAGCTCGTGTATTGTACATTGTAGTTACTACCTACAGCTCGTGTATTGTACATTGTAGTTACCTACAGCTCGTGTATTGTACATTGTAGTTACCTACAGCTCGTGTATTGTACATTGTAGTTACCTACAGCTCGTGTATTGTACATTGTAGTTACTACCTACAGCTCGTGTATTGTACATTGTAGTTACCTACAGCTCGTGTATTGTACATTGTAGTTACCTACAGCTCGTGTATTGTACATTGTAGTTACCTACAGCTCGTGTATTGTACATTGTAGTTACTACCTACAGCTCGTGTATTGTACATTGTAGTTACCTACAGCTCGTGTATTGTACATTGTAGTTACCTACAGCTCGTGTATTGTACATTGTAGTTACCTACAGCTCGTGTATTGTACATTGTAGTTACCTACAGCTCGTGTATTGTACATTGTAGTTACCTACAGCTCGTGTATTGTACATTGTAGTTACCTACAGCTCGTGTATTGTACATTGTAGTTACTACCTACAGCTCGTGTATTGTACATTGTAGTTACCTACAGCTCGTGTATTGTACATTGTAGTTACCTACAGCTCGTGTATTGTACATTGTAGTTACCTACAGCTCGTGTATTGTACATTGTAGTTACCTACAGCTCGTGTATTGTACATTGTAGTTACTACCTACAGCTCGTGTATTGTACATTGTAGTTACCTACAGCTCGTGTATTGTACATTGTAGTTACCTACAGCTCGTGTATTGTACATTGTAGTTACCTACAGCTCGTGTATTGTACATTGTAGTTACCTACAGCTCGTGTATTGTACATTGTAGTTACCTACAGCTCGTGTATTGTACATTGTAGTTACCTACAGCTCGTGTATTGTACATTGTAGTTACTACCTACAGCTCGTGTATTGTACATTGTAGTTACCTACAGCTCGTGTATTGTACATTGTAGTTACCTACAGCTCGTGTATTGTACATTGTAGTTACCTACAGCTCGTGTATTGTACATTGTAGTTACCTACAGCTCGTGTATTGTACATTGTAGTTACCTACAGCTCGTGTATTGTACATTGTAGTTACCTACAGCTCGTGTATTGTACATTGTAGTTACTACCTACAGCTCGTGTATTGTACATTGTAGTTACTACCTACAGCTCGTGTATTGTACATTGTAGTTACCTACAGCTCGTGTATTGTACATTGTAGTTACTACCTACAGCTCGTGTATTGTACATTGTAGTTACCTACAGCTCGTGTATTGTACATTGTAGTTACTACCTACAGCTCGTGTATTGTACATTGTAGTTACCTACAGCTCGTGTATTGTACATTGTAGTTACCTACAGCTCGTGTATTGTACATTGTAGTTACCTACAGCTCGTGTATTGTACATTGTAGTTACCTACAGCTCGTGTATTGTACATTGTAGTTACTACCTACAGCTCGTGTATTGTACATTGTAGTTACTACCTACAGCTCGTGTATTGTACATTGTAGTTACCTACAGCTCGTGTATTGTACATTGTAGTTACCTACAGCTCGTGTATTGTACATTGTAGTTACCTACAGCTCGTGTATTGTACATTGTAGTTACTACCTACAGCTCGTGTATTGTACATTGTAGTTACCTACAGCTCGTGTATTGTACATTGTAGTTACCTACAGCTCGTGTATTGTACATTGTAGTTACCTACAGCTCGTGTATTGTACATTGTAGTTACTACCTACAGCTCGTGTATTGTACATTGTAGTTACCTACAGCTCGTGTATTGTACATTGTAGTTACCTACAGCTCGTGTATTGTACATTGTAGTTACCTACAGCTGAATTTTATATTGTTTTTATAATCCTTTAAAATGAATCTACAATGATGCTGTAACAATAATGAAATGTGTTTCAAACACTGTAATTATCAACAAGTAAGATAAAAACATAGTTTTCTTGACAAACATCTTGTGAATTCTAATATGTTGGTTATATCATCTGCTAAATATTAAGGGAATACGATACAGAAAAGACATGTTGTTGATTTTACCTTTAATAAAATTTTGACAATTTTTTTAATTTTTTTTATGCACTATTGAAATATGTGAAGAAAAATATGCTTTCATGACTTACTTTTTGTGATATTTTAGTTTGAAATTTGCATGTTTCATGTAAAAACACAAATTACATAAATGTATTGAAAAATGAAATTTTTGTTTTTACATGAAACATGCAAATTTCAAACTAAAATATAACTATTCCCATGATTCATCAAAACGCTATGCCAATTTATTGACGCTAGAAATGCTATCAGTCTTCATTTGCCTGGAAGTACAGTACAGTAGATTTCGCATGCTTAAATCAACAACATGCTTGTTTTCCTATGTCAACACTTTCAAATTCACATAACTGGTTTGATTTTGCACGAATTTTGGATGCTTATCATTAGCAATGTTTCGAAAACAAGTTAAATATGGATGCATTATTATCTGCCCTTGCTATTGTATCGTATGCCCTTAAAAAGACATTTATTAAATCTAATCAAGACATCAGATAATACTGTTAATACTGATACAGCAACTTTTATGAATATTTATTTATGGTGTTTTAAATATGAATTTTATTTGATTAAACTTCCATCAACTTTGAAATGTAGCAGAAAGAAAACAATAAAGAAGTTCAAGGTGTTGCTGAATGTTTTATTAATGGCATAAAGATTTACAAGGTGACCTCTTATGTTTTATTTCATTACCAGCGACATTATTGACATAAAAGGAGAAGGTGCACAAGTTCCCTACTAATCCCCAAGGTTTCATATAATATAGCATATTATATATAGGTAATAAATTAGGCCTTTTTGATTCTGAAAGTTCTCTGGTGACAGAAAAAATTGATTCCAGAACTGAAGATTATAGAACACTTGTATGGTCTATTGCCTTCTGGAAAACATTTGCCACACACTCTTACCAAAACAAAGGTTTAAAAAGTAAAGTAAGATGTATTAAATCACAAATATGCATTTTGGTCAGAACATGCAGCCCAATTTTCAAAAATCAAATACAACCAGTAATCAGAAAAAAACCAGAGCTGCATTATTTTATGAATGAGCAAGCGGTAAATAGTAGTGGTACCAGTTGCCATTTTGAACCTTAGCTATTTTACATTTCAGCCAACTAAACCTGTTCACAACACTTGGATTTTTCAATGAGAGCAAAGTAAACAAAACCACCGATTCATGTTTTCAACCAGTATTTAAGGCTGCCATTAATTGGAATGAACAATTTTGACTCAATTTTAAAAATTTTATTCAGTATTAGCACCCATCAATTTATATTTAAGGACATACAATACAGTTTTAATCCCACAGTGAATGTTTTACGAAAATTTGCATACAAGCTTATTCTACTTAGTCAATTCAAATATGTAATAAAAAATATACCTTCAATTGCTAGTTTTAGAGAGAAATGGGGTCAAAATTTTAGACATAAATCCAAATTTAAATTCTTGGAAATTTATATCCTTGCCACCAACATACCTATATTTATTTTTTTTAAAGATAAACACAAGCAGATTTTTGTTATAACATTTCAAATATCTTCTTAACATAAGTATACTCTAAACTTGTGTTAGAATTCTTCGGTAATATTTCATTTTTATCAAATTTTCATGATATTAGAAAAAAACCCAGCCTTTTTTTCTGTATCCGGGTACCCAGTACTTTTATCTAATTTTAAAAAAATTCGATCAGTGATTTGTTCATAAAAATTGGTTCAAATAATCTTCACACATAATAAAGCCAAATGCCATTTTAAAAAATGGGTGTCCATGTACTTGTTTTCAAGCTTATAATTTATTTTGTCAAAAAATGCATCCTTTTCCACCATGTCACAGTTTGAAATCGCTTAAATTACATTTTATGCTAGCGACCTCATTACCTCCCCCGTAACTGTATCCTATGCCCTTAATGGGAGACATTCATCTACCCACACAATTGCATTTGCTTCAATCTCTACTACCCACAGAAAAAAATATCAAAAACCATCTTAACCCTCCATTACATTTGTTTCTGGAATGGTCCTTACAAAATATGTTTTTATAGCAGGTCAGTTGTCATCGCATCATGGCAGGAAAACTATATCAGAATATTTTTATTTTTTATTAGCATAATACGTCGAAATGTTTTCAGGTAAATTGGTGCTATAATTCCAATTGTGAATTTTCATGGCTGTTTAACCTTTTATGAACCTAAACCTTTAGTGTTTTAAGAGACATAAAAATGAATAATTGACTATATTAAACTTTTGTAATAAGCGATATAGCAAGCAGCACACCATAGCATTCAGATCATTTTAGCTCCATATCTTTTTTTATCTCACCTGACCCGATTAAATGAGGATTATCATGAAAACTATAATAAATAGAAAGAAACTTTATGTAACAAAAATTATCAGCAAGAAAAGGTTAATAGAGATGAAATTGTTAGTTGAATCCTTATAGGAGTTATTTTTTTACTATTTTTTGTGTTTTTGGCAACAACTAATTTTTATACGTCCATTTATGGGGCGTATTATTGTATACCATTGTCTGTCTGTCCGTCATAAACATGTCGGACAATAACCCAAATATGCTTTAACCAATATTCATTAAACTTTGGTGAATTGTTTATATCTATTGACATAAGCTCCCTTTCAATTTTTATTAATTTTAGATTTTATTCTTAAAAAAGGGGGGATTTTCCAGTTTTCGGACAATAACTCAAAAATGCTTTGAGCAGTTTTCTTGAAACTTTGGTGACTGGTTTTATATCTATTAAAATAAGCTCCCTTTTGTTTTTTATAAATTTCTTATATGACATTGAGGAGTGAAAAAATTATCAGCGATACAAGATCAACAAAAAAAAGGGAATTTAGTCATGAATTCTATTAAAGTCTACAATTTTGGAGAGTGGCCATTATTCAAGGTGTACTTAAATTCAGTAGAGCGGTGCAGGCTCTCTTAATTATAGTTAAGGCCCTGCCTACAATTGTAAGGAAGCATTGTTTTTTTTAATTTTGTGTGTCTCCGTCCAGTACAGGTTTTGGTTTAAGGTAGGTTATGATGAAGATGTGGTAACCTCAACTTTAAACTTGGGACACATGTTTAATATAGCAAGAACTCTGTCCTGCCTTTTTATTTTTCACTCTATTCTGTCCTGCCTTTTTTTTCATTACTTTATCCTGCCTTTTTTTTTTTTGCCAAGTTGCTCATCCTGCCTTTTTTTCAAATTTCATCCTAGCCCCCCATAAAAATCAAATGGTATCCCCCTAAATTGGCTATAGCATTTTTTTGCATATTTCAAGGAAAAACTCTATAGTAATATTTCTTGTGGCCATTTTGAGATATTTTTTTGTCTCCAAAAATTGTCAGTTATTATGTGTTAAACACTGTCCTTACTCGTTTCATCATAGTGTTCATGGAAAACAAAAATATAGCAGTCAAAGCATAACTAAAAGATAAAATTTGTCACCCCCTTTTTTCAAGTTGGAAAATATTTATTTAGGTCCTGCCAAGCCTGAAACCTTTGCCAGATGCACAAGTTTGTCTGTACTCAAGGTAAATGTGGTAAAAACATTGCCATTTTTTGCCTATAGGTAAAGATGAACTTTATTGACATACATAAAAAAGAAATTTTATCTTTTTGAAACTGAAATGTTGTATGATACATTTTTTTCATAATTTTCAATGAAAACGGACTATTTTTTTTTTCACTTTCCTTCTGAAACATATGAATTTTTTTCTAAATGAATTTAGAATCAAACAATTTATTTTAAAAAAAAATGTCCCCCACAAAAGATGGTTTGTGTCTAAGGGAATGCCCTTGTAAATTACTGTAATGCTGACTTGACAATGAATATTACTATAGGACTATAAATCTTCTGTTTTCCCATTAGCTATTAGCATAAGATTTAGAATCTTTTCTTCTTTTTTTTCTGGCTGTGTTAGTTTTTACTATTAAAACAAGGAGAAATTATCTTGAGCAAATACAAGAAAATTGGAGAGCGATAAAAGAAGTCATATAATAATGTAAATGGAGAGCATGATTCTATTGCAAAATCACTTTGTCTCCTACAGGACTCGAACCTGGGACTTCTGTGTTACAAGGCAGCACTCTAACCGACTGAGCTAAAGAAGTACTTCCTTAGCTCAACTACTTATGGCTTACTAAGTATCTACCACATGTACTAAGGGAAGCGATCCCATCACACTTCCCCACACCTCAAGAGGAGTCATACCATTATGGGTATTTTAGTTTGGCGCCAAATGTAACCGCAGAGCATGATTCTATTAAAAAATAAAATGCTTCGCTGAGCGCAGCCTGATACGACTGCAGTGGTCGAACCCTGAACAGTTGGGGCAAATTTGGACACAATATTCAAGCTTGATACTATCTGAATTTGGATTGTGATCAAATTTTTGACATAATATAGGTTTCTGACACAAAATAAATGTGGTCAAAGATCTTACAATTCTAATGCGCAATACTGTGCAATTGAAGATTTCTTCTTGAAACTTTTCAAAAATTTGAAATTTTGAAAATTTTGAAAAAAAAATTGGAAAAAGAAAAAAAGTTAAATCACAAAAATACTGAACTCCGAGGAAAAATTCAAAACGGAAAGTCCCTAATCAAATGGCAAAATCAAAAGCACATCAAAGGAATTGACAACAACTGTCATATTCCTGACTTGGTACAGGCATTTTCTTATGTAGAAAATGTTGGATTGAACCTGGTTTTATAGCGCTAAACCTCTCACTTGTATGACAGTCGCATCAAATTCCATTATATTGACAACGATGCGTGAATAAAACAAACAGACATAATAGGTAAAAATGTCAAAATAGGGGTACAGCAGTCAACACTGTGTCACAATCTTAATAACAACAAAAACAAACAAATATTTAACAAAGAAGCACAAAAAAAGCATATATCACATTTAACAACCTCGTTCATTGCTTACTTTTTTTTTGGATTTTATTTATGTATGCCAAATCAACCCATAAAGGATTAAGGGATTTTAAGCACTGGGACCGAATCGTAATTTTAACATTACTCTGGCGTAGAATTGTGTGTTTGACGTCAGAATGTAAACGTCACACAGGTAGAGATATAAAATAATTTTGTCGTTCAAAGTATACAAAAATTATAATAGAACAATAACACAATGGCTGGATATTTAAAGTACAGAGACACGTCAAATGTATCAGAGAAACATAAAAAGTAATACATGGAAACCCCCCCTTCCCCCCAAACTTTTTGAATCCCCCTTTTAGCATTAACCATCAAACTCAATTGCAGTCTTTCCTTTGTAGTATGGAACCTTGTGGTACAATTTTAGAGAGATCCATACACTTAATCACAAGTTACTGTCTGGAAACTAGAAAAATGCTTTTTTTTAACCATAAAAGCCCATTTAAATACATCATAAAAGTATTAAAATAGAAAATGACATCATAGTCATGGCTAAAATTAAAAAACCTTCATCAGCAACTTTTAATAGTAATATATAAAAATAAAATTCCTTCATCAGCATTTAAAAGTAACTTCTAAAAATAAATTGACAGCTAGGACTTTGCAACCATTAAAATTATGTTTTACTACTTAAGTAATTGTCCATTAACCTGGAAACCCTTGTTCCCCCCCCCCCCCCTTTTTCCCCTAATTCCTAAACAGTGTACCACATGTACTAAGGGAAGCGTTCCTGTCACATTAAAACGATTGTTGTCCTTTGATATCAGTTGATATATTAAGATGTGTAATAGTGTAAAATCCAACAATTGCATTGCTACTATATAGAAGTCCATTAAATATTTAAATATGATGATTTATTAACCCCAGAGAGATATGGTATGCACTTTCGGCCCTTGGCCTCGGAGAATATCATAATCTCATCAAAAGTCAATAATTGTATATTATTGGAATCAATGAAGGCATGATAGCAAGCAAAATAAATAAATTCCAGACGTCATAATTGCTTGGAATTGCAATTCAGTGTTGACTTATCTGCACTGAACGATTGGACTTTGGCTTTTTCCTTTTGGTAGACAGCCAATCAAAATCGTGTAAAACCACGCATTGACTGTCTGGTGTCTAAAATTAGAAACTGGCACAACAAATCTGGAAAAATAGAACACAGCTGACGAAGTGAATGCCGGAGAAAGAAGAATCCTTACAGTTTCCTCATCTGAATGGTCGAATGTTTGACCAGAAGACAATAGCAAACCTTTTCTCAGCCAGTGCTGCAACCAACGTTGCGATTCAGTTTTGTCACAAGGTAAAATTTTGACCCACATACGTGACATTTATAATGTTTATTGTTGATATAGAATGACGTTATAGAATGCTATATTTTGGGGTATTTCAACTGAACAGCAGTCGTTGCATTAACAGATCACATGGGTTTAATTTCTAATTCAGAATATATACGACTTAAATAGATTAAAATGATTAGACAGCTGTTTAAAAATATTCAATCCGGACATGCAGTTTTCTCTGAAGCTCTCGTTTGTCCAATATTAAGTCCATGTGTTTGGTTGAATGAACAGACATACCAACTGAATAAAATTACTGGCTATCATGGTATATTTTAAAGGAGGTGTATAACAAGGATCTCCTGTAGTTGGTGATCGCAATACTGGTATACTAGTATTGTCCACAATACTGGTATAAAAATTTAAAAAACAGCAATACTGGTACATTACTGATATACCAGTATGTAGTTGTATTGTTCACTATACTTTAAGGTGTATAATGAAAAATGAATTTTAAGTAAAATTAGATATTGAAGATCAAAAGGAGATTAAATGAACTCAAAAAGATTATAGAGGATAATTGTGAAATCAATTAACAACCAGTTAAAAAAATTACTATACTTGTAAAAGATTATTGTTACTAAATCATCTTATTCAAACAATTGTTAAGTATATAAATAATTGCTAATAATTTTATCATATTTCTATATTTTATTTAATTCAATTTAGATAAAATAGAATAAAAGCTTTATGATCTGAGTTATTATTTAATAAATTCAAGCAAATTATTACACTATAACACTGTAAATTCAGCATTTACATGTATGCCATCGTATATTTTTTACAGATATTTTAATACATGTATACTAAGATCATATGCATTTGTTTGTCTTTATTTTCTTATTAATCTTTCACAATAAACATGATAAAAGATATCAATATCCATTAAACATAAAAAGTTGCTTAATAGGGGAACCTGATTATAATCAAATTAACTAGTTTGTCTACATGAATGTTAAGGGTAGTTAAAGCAGTTGATTCAGAACCATGGGCAATACAATTTGTAGCAGATATATCTACTGGTACAAATACTCAAATACTAATACTAGACAAGCACTCCTACAGTAAGAGAGCCGTACAGGTGCTATCTAAACAAGCTTGTAATCTAGTAAGCGTAAGAGAAAGTCCACAGACTGAATACCTAAATATCAATTTAGGAAGTGGGGGTTAATAAAAGATTAATTACCTATATGTATTGTTTATTTAAAAAAAACACAATACTGGTACAATACTGGAATACAATACTGGTACAAAATTTTTATACCAGTATTGTGCACAATACTAGTATACCAGTATTGCGATCACCAACTACAGGAGATCCTATAACAAAGCAACCCAGCAACAAAAAGAAACCCTAAAAATTAGAAGACATGTAAAGTCAGATCACATGTTTTTTGTAGGTCATATGAATTCGTACTATGCATGCTTTTTCAATGAAAATTGTGACGTCACATTGCATTCTTAATAGCATGAAAAACCCATGAGACGATATAGTGATCAACAGACAATTGCTTATACATCAAGCTTCAAATCTTCAACAGTCTGGACATCAACATCTACAAGGAAAATACACAGTCTGGACATCAACATCTACAAGGAAAATACACAGTCTGGACATCAACATCTACAAGGAAAATACACAGTCTGGACATCAACATCTACAAGGAAAATACACAGTCTGGACATCAACATCTACAAGGAAAATACACAGTCTGGACATCAACATCTACAAGGAAAATACACAGTCTGGACATCAACATCTACAAGGAAAATACACAGTCTGGACATCAACATCTACAAGGAAAATACACAGTCTGGACATCAACATCTACAAGGAAAATACACAGTCTGGACATCAACATCTACAAGGAAAATACACAGTCTGGACATCAACATCTACAAGGAAAATACACAGTCTGGACATCAACATCTACAAGGAAAATACACTTTCTTCATTATGCTTTACTTTAGCATAAATAATAAACTACTTTTCAAATTAATAAAGATCTATTTCACAAACGCATGTACATATCTAGTCACAATAAATCCAGAACAATCAACTGTAAAACTAATATATAAACCAAATACGGACTGTATTCCGCAATACGCAAAACCCAATAACTGGTTTAGGAGAGATAACTCTCTTAAACATATGCTAACTCAACCGAATGTCTTGACCATACCAGACTGACATACAACCCCCCCAAACAAAAACACGTACACGTCAATTAAATGAAAATAAGTAGAAATTATAATTTAGAAAAAAAGAAAAAGAAAAAAATCAATGCCCCAAATGCCTGTGGTTTCACTTACAGATGATACAGCAAATAGGATAAAGGGCTAAATTGACTCTAACAAAAGGCAAGATAACAAATACACCAAGATACAGACAATATGTCAAAGATAAAGGAATTCATTTAGTAACTGTTTTACTGTTTTGGTTTGGAGAATGTGATTTGTGACCTGCAAAAGGAAGTTTTTATTTATTTGAAAAAAATACCTATATAGTCTAAATACTCATATGGTCTATCCCATTAATGACCAAACGAGTATATACTGATATGGTCCGACCAAAGGTGTATGGTAGGACCGTATAAATATACTTGTATGGTCATGACTATACGTGTAAGGTTCAAATACTCATATGGTCCGGAACATATATATATATATATTGTATAATGATAAAATATTGATTATTTTGAAAAACCAATCAAATTTGGATAACAAATTATTAATCATGTAAATTTTCCCCAAACATGAAATGTTTTATTTATATTACTTTCAGTTATTGTTAGTGCACTGGTTCTAAATTGCAAACACGAAGTGGTAGAGACAGAAAAGATTGCCACTGAATATTTTTTATCTTGTTTTATATTGGAATAATAAGTGAATACTCAGCAATTTATTGCAAAATGGTGAAGGATATGTCTGCTGTTCAACCAAAGAATCTCCCTCGGTATGTATGAAAAAATGAGATATCTGATCATCTTTAAGTTACATTTTGTATATGGGTTTTTTGTACAATCTTTATAGTGTTAATCTACATGTAACTTTGAAAATGTATTATAAATATCCCTTAAAAATTGAATTTTATGCTGGAAGGAGTGAAATAACAAGTGACAAGTGGTTGTTGACTGAGTTAATCCTTTATTGGTAATAATGTAAGTAACTATACTATAATTATATTAAATATTGTGATACATGTATAAAGTTCATAAGCAAATAGCAGTCTGTTTTATAATATCACATGAATAGCAAAAATCGAAAACAACATGTTTCAGTTTGTAATGTCAGCTGTATGAAAAACTTATCACTGGCAGTATAAAATGAACTACCACTTATCTACATGTACATGCTGTGAAAAAATGTTAGGTTTTAAACAACATTGTTTAATATGTATGCTAGAATGCCAAATTCAGTTATCTTTCCATTTTGCAGGGAAAACAAAGCTGAAAATATGGAAACAGACACACCTCCCTCTCAAAGAGCACCAGTTCAACAGGACACAGTCCCAAGCCAAGCTCAGAGTAGGATGAGCATTAGGAGATCCACATGGGAGCCAGCTTGGGGACCAGTCTTCAAGAACAAGGAACATTTTGTAGAAATGCACCTTTGTTAAAAAGCTGATGAAGTGTTCCATGAAGCATTTTAGATTTTCTTGTTGTTCTTGAGAGTGATACTGTGCTGTTAAATTTTGTATAAATTTTTGAATTTTGTTTCTTTTATTAACCAAGAATTTCTTGATTTATCATGTACTTGTTGCTTTAATGATATTAGCCTAAATATCCTGATGTAATAACTGCACTAGCTTATAACATAATTTTGTGATTAATCCAGTTTTTCAACTAGATTGATGATAAAAGTCATTTTTAGTACAGCCTTTTACTTGTCACTGAAAAATTATATGTTAGATTTGGTTTTAAATGATTCATTGTTCTTATTTTTTTTTTGTCATAGATCTAAACCGTTGCACTTATTATACAAGTGATGGTTGTAAAATTCTGACTAATAAATCATAAAAACTAAATTAAGTGCAGTGGCAGACAATTTTTCACCATTTTACAATATTTTGCTTTTATATGTTTTGTGCAGTGACATTTGCTTGACATTTTGTGCAATGGGGTGATGGTGATTGAATTATTTAAAAAAACAGTTACATAAAGACATTTAGGTACGCAAACCCCTCAAAATAAATTTGATACCTCCGGTTTACATACTTCTGATGGGTGCTAGTTGATATAGGGCACATTAAATTGTAATAACTGTAATACATGTATATATAGACTGTGTTGTCATTATGTTGTAAATGAATTTGTTAAAACCTGTCATTATAGTCACTTGGGAACAAATTTTTGTAAAAAAAGCTGTAATACCAAAACAAACTTGTTTTTTTATGATGATGAAGTCAAGTTATTTGAAGAGTCATCTAGAAAGAAATACTCTCAAATCAACATGTGGGTCTCACAACAGATGTTTTGAGTGAACTGAATCTACAAAAATCTGTCAGCATTTTGTTAGTGATGTTTTAAATCATTCCAAAAATCTGGGATGTTTTTATAAATCTCTTTTTCTAATGTATAAAAGTTGTATTGCCATAATATTTTATCTATTATTTTCTAAAACAATATTTTGAGTGATTCTGTGTGGACTGATTTGATTCGAATGTTCTGAATCCCAACTGACTTCAGACAAATAGATGTTCATATGTGTAGCTGCTTCAAACTTTTCAAAGCTTACTGTATTTTTAATCCATTCCTATTATTTTTTATTATATATAATTGGAAATAGTAGGATTTTTCACCATCAGCTTTGTTTTCGTGTTTTCAGTGTTGTCACACTGTTCACGTTTTTCTATTTCAACTAATTGTATTGATTTAATTATGAGTTAGAATCTCTTACAATCACACCATAAACTTGCTTAAACATAAGCTTTCCCTCTAAAAACTTTAAAAACACCTAATTACTCCCTTAGACATATTAGCTTTCCCTCTAAAAACTTTAAAAAGACCTTAAACATAAGATTTCCCTCTAAAAACTTTAAAAAGACCTTAAACATAAGCTTTCCCTCTAAAAACTTTAAAAACACCTAATTACAGGTTTGTTACATTTTTTTATAATTGTTGAAATAAAATTTTATGATTTCAATTGTCATCATATTTTTCATTGAAATACAGACTACATTTGATCAGTAATAATAAAATAAGTTTGAAATTGGAGTGTTGACATAAAAATGTTGGAACAAATTTTCTCATTACTGTTCTTACTTTCCTTTAACGCTGTGAAATTCACCCCATAATTGTTCCTATTCAGTGAATGTGATGACAAAGTTTTATTGTTTACAATACAAGCTGTTTGTTTCAGATTTCTAGATTCTTGGTCAGTATTTATTTTTTTACAATACAAGCTGTTTGACTCAGATTTCTAGATTCTTGGTCAGTATTTATTTTTTTACAATACAAGCTGTTTGACTCAGATTTCTAGATTCTTGGTCAGTATTTTTTTGTGTAAAACAAATATATCTCACTTTTATTATATATTATGTATTTCATTGACACAAATATGAAGCTTTATATTTTTACCAGTGATTTTATTTATTGTTAATTTTGGAGGAGTATAATATCATTGCATTTTATTTTTATACATGGAATAATGAAAAAGGTAATTTTTTTTGTGTAGATGCTTCCAATAGTTTAAACTGAACTGTGAAAACATAAACACTTACATTTTTATGCTGAAATAATGTAAATATCTAATTATTTGTTTGACATGAAAGAGGCATTAATTTATGCAGTTCTCAGTAGGATGGCAATTTTTAGTCTTTTGAATATATAAATTAAAGATGAATGTAAGAAGAATGTTTATTTCCTAAAAAAGACAAGAAGACATTTTTATTGAGCTGTAATCCACATGTACAACTAGTCATCTTGAAAAAGAAAACTACAAATCATTGACTGTTAAAAAAGACTAAGCTTTTTTTGATGTATCTGTATTGCTCAGATTTTACAGTTTTTCTGTAAGAATTACAAACAAAACTTCCAAAAATTGGAAACAAACCATTTTAAAGTATTTATTTAATGATACTAATTGTTCCAATTTGATTGAATAACTGATGTAAAATGTTTTGTGTTTTGAAATTTGGAATTAAATTAATTTTGAAAAACAACAACAAAAGAAGTGTAAAGCGTTTAAATGAGTACTTGATTTATTATACTGTGTATAATATTAAATAAAAAAGTAATTTATATCTGTGTCATCTTATTTATGAGAGTTTGTCCATGCTCCATTTGAATTGCAATGTTAAGGCAAGCTGATGCAGAAATATCTAGGGTTGTCTTTCTTTTGCTGTATTCTTATTACTTATAACTTGTAATAGAATATTCAATACCCAAAGTCAAGATAATTTAATTTATAGATAGTATTTCATAAACCTTTGTTGGAAAAATGAGGCTGACTGTAAAATTTTAATTTTGCATCTGTTTTAAATAATTCTACCCATATGTTTTAAGTGTTGCCCCCAGCTACCAATTTGCAATGTCCTATATAATACAATCATTATTGCAAACAGAAGATGAAAAAATATTTCTGAATAGAGTGGTTTGAAAAGCTGATTTTCATCTCCCTTTCACCAATATAGAACTAGAATGTGTGTTTGTCTTTTATCTTAAAAGGCAAAATGACATGCTGACTAGATCTACCAATGTTAATCATTGAAGGTTGTTGGTTTACCAATAACCATTAACACTCGAACTCAGAAAAAACTAATCTGATGAAATAATACAAATATTGTTTAAATTGTTTGTAAAACTGATACTACTGAGTTGTGTATTTCCTGAATTGTGTGGTGTCTAACTGATACTATTGAGTTGTGTATTTCCTGAATTGTGTGGTGTCTAACTGATACTATTGAGTTGTGTATTTCCTGAATTGTGTGGTGTCTTTGGCTGTTTTTATTACACTGATTGAGATTTAGAAGTGAAGAATTGAATACCCACAAAAGTCTGTATAAGCTATGCTGATGTGTAAATTCACAGCCATGTCCAGTAAGAATGTGGTCGTAAAATCTGATGCCTCATGTAGAGAGAGTGCCACACACTATGCATGTTGAGAACCCATGAAACAACTCTTTCAGGGGTCAATTAACCTGTTGCAATGTTAAATTTCTTTCTCCAGCCAAGATACCCTCATTTTCCAGTAGCATTCCAAGTTTCCCGCCCATCATCCCGGTCAACCCCCTATTACAGGACCTACCTATTGTATCAATTGTTTATTCATCCTGAACAATGCATGATATTTGTCAGTGGACGCTTAGTAAACAACAATCAATCAATATTACTAATAAGTACACAGCTAAATTGTCCACCAGCCAGTAGAGATTTTGCCTCATTATACTACCGCAAAAAATTTGTGTTCGTATAATGCTATCACGTTGTCGTCCAAAGACATTTGGTTTCCGGACAATAACTTTAGTTTAAGTGTATGGATCTCTATGAAATTTAACCAAAAGGTTCAATACCACAAAAGGAAGGTTGGGATTGTTTTTGGGGGTAATGGGCCCAAAACAAGCATTTTTCTAGTTTCAGGACAATAACTTGTGTATAAGTATTTTGATTGCTCTGAAATTGTACCACAAGGTTCAATACCACAAGTAGAAGGTTGGGATTCATTTTGGGGGTAATTACCCAAACCGTTCAGGAATTAGGGGCCAAAACAAGCAATTTTCTAGTTTTCAGACAATAACTTGTGTTTAAGTGTATGGATGTCTCATAAATTTTACCACATTTTACAAAAAGAAAATTTCTTCAAATATTATTTTTTTTGGAGGGGTGGGGGTCATTTTTTTTCCTCAAGATCTAAGAAATTATCAATTTTCCAAAAAAAAAATTGGGGGTCACAATTTATTTTGCTAATTCTTTGTATATAGTCTGAAAACAGATTTACTAAGTATTGCGCAACAGCACAGTGTATTGCACAACTGGAAATCTTCAATTCATTATAAATTCAAATCATATAACCAATTTGAAGTTCATGTGAATGCTTATGAATAGACAGCTAGCATGACCACCAAATGACACACTTTAAACCTTTCCACTAACAAATCATTCACTGTAGTGTAATCCACTGAGTGTACACCTGACAATTACACTAGACAGCTAGTATGACCACCAAATGACACACTTTAAACCTTGCCACCAACAAATCATTCACTGTAGTGTAATCCACTGAGTGTACACCTGACAATTACACTAGACAGCTAGTATGACCACCAAATGACACACTTTAAACCTTTCCACTAACAAATCATTCACTGTAGTGTAATCTACTGAGTGTACACCTGACAATTACACTAGACAGCTAGTGTGACCACCAAATGACACACTTTAAACCTTGCCACCAACAAATCATTCACTGTAGTGTAATCCACTGAGTGTACACCTGACAATTACACTAGACAGCTAGTATGACCACCAAAATGACACACTTTAAACCTTTCCACTAACAAATCATTCACTGTAGTGTAATCCACTGAGTGTACACCTGACAATTACACTAGACAGCTAGTATGACCACCAAATGACACACTTTAAACCTTGCCACCAACAAATCATTCAATGTAGTGTAATCTACTGAGTGTACACCTGACAATTACACTAGACAGCTAGTATGACCACCAAATGACACACTTTAAACCTTGCCACCAACAAATCATTCAATGTAGTGTAATCTACTGAGTGTACACCTGACAATTACACTAGACAGCTAGCATGACCACCAAATGACACACTTTAAACCTTTCCACTAACAAATCATTCACTGTAGTGTAATCCACTGAGTGTACACCTGACAATTACACTAGACAGCTAGTATGACAACCAAATGACACACTTTAAACCTTGCCACCAACAAATCATTCACTGTAGTGTAATCCACTGAGTGTACACCTGACAATTACACTAGACAGCTAGTATGACCACCAAATGACACACTTTAAACCTTTCCACTAACAAATCATTCACTGTAGTGTAATCCACTGAGTGTACACCTGACAATTACACTAGACAGCTAGTATGACCACCAAATGACACATTTAAACCTTGCCACCAACAAATCATTCACTGTAGTGTAATCCACTGAGTGTACACCTGACAATTACACTAGACAGCTAGCATGACCACCAAATGACACACTTTAAACCTTGCCACCAACAAATCATTCACTGTAGTGTAATCCACTGAGTGTACACCTGACAATTACACTAGACAGCTAGCATGACCACCAAATGACACACTTTAAACCTTGCCATCAACAAATCATTCACTGTAGTGTAATCCACTGAGTGTACACCTGACAATTACACTAGACAGCTAGTATGACCACCAAATGACACACTTTAAACCTTGCCACCAACAAATCATTCAATGTAGTGTAATCCACTGAGTGTACACCTGACAATTACACTAGACAGCTAGTATGCCCACCAAATGACACACTTTAAACCTTTCCACTAACAAATCATTCACTGTAGTGTAATCCACTGAGTGTACACCTGACAATTACTAGTACACTAGACAGCTAGCATGACCACCAAATGACACACTTTAAACCTTGCCACCAACAAATCATTCAATATAGTGTAATCTACTGAGTGTACACACGACAATTACACCACTGTCAGTGTTCATGATTAGCAATTCTCTGAAAGGTTTTCTTTACAATCGCCCACTGACTACATTCTAAGATGGTTGCCTGTACTATCATTCAACTCAAAGAGTATTATGGAATATCAACCTGACTGTATCGCAGACAATTAGTCCTCTGTGAGTAATCTGGAATATCAACCTGATTGTATCGCAGACAATTAGTCCTCTGTGAGTAATCTGGAATATCAACCTGACTGTATTGCAGACAATTAGTCCTCTGTGAGTATTCTGGAATATCAACCTGACTGTATCGCAGACAATTAGTCCTCTGTGAGTATTCTTGTCAATCAGTCAATTAACATTATTCAAGGAAATCAGTCTATTGACCGTATTCTTAATAGTCAGTTCAATGACTTTTTTTTAATTTAAAAAATCACAACCAGTATTAAATGATGATATTCCTGATAGACAGCCCAGTGACAGTATCCACAATCCGTTAAGTGACATTGTTCTTGAAAAAAAGTCTTTCAACAGTATTCTGGACAGTCATTGCACTGATAGTATTCTAGATGATTAGTCCACGTACAGCATTCTGGTCTATCTTTCAAATGGATATTTTGCAGATAATAGACATTTGGCAGTACACTTGAGAATGAGGTCATTTATTGTATTCTTAATTTATATCAATGACAGGTTTTTTGAAATCCACTAACAGTATTCTTCACAACTGGTCCACTTAAAGAATACTTGGAAATCAGTTTTACATGGAAATTTCTTAACAATCAGCTCAATTACAGTGTTCTTGACACTCAAACCATTGACTATTCTTCATAATTATTTCACTGAAACTTTTCTTGAGAACCAGTCCACAGAAAACATACATGATATTCAATCCAACTAGAGTATTCTTGAATAATTAGTCTACAGTTTTATTGTAATCTAGTCCACAGAGGTATTTTTGACATAAATTCACTGACAAAATTCCAAACAATCAGCTAATTGAGAATGCATTTATCAATCAGTTAATTAACGTATTTCAGATGATCAGCCCACTGACAGTGTTCTTAACATTTTGTCTAAAAAACCCTCTATTTTTGTCGATTAGCCCACTGGAATATCAGTTTACTGGCAGTGTTCTTGACAATCAGTTCACTGACAGTACATTTAAAAATAAGTCATTGACCGTACACTCAACAATCTGTCCACTGACATTATTCTCGACAATAGGTCCACTAACATAATTCATGACAATAGGTCCTCTGTCAGTGTTCTCGACAATAGTTCCACTGGCAGTGTTCTCGACAATAGTTCCACTGGCAGTGTTCTCAACAATAGGTCCACTAAAATAATTCATGACAATAGGTCCTTTGTCAGTATTCTCGACAATAGGTTAACTGACAGTGTTCTTGACAATAAGTCCACTGGCAGTACACTTGACAATTATCATAACAGTACACTTGATAATAAGTTCACTTGTTCTCTTGGTAGTGCTCTGAACAATTAGTCAACTACAATATTTCTGACTGTCAACATTATTATTGACAATCAGTTTAATGACAGTTTTATTGACAATATGTCCAATTAAAGTATTCTTGATAATCAGTTT